TTGTGGTTCAGTTCATGTTTTTTGCTACCAAATCAAGGCTAAGGCTTGTTTTTTTGTTCTACCATGCACTAACTTGTCTCCATTTGGGCCTTTGGTTGCTCAGGTGTCGATAGAGGGTTAAGCAAATCCAGAGTTTCTCGGAGGGCAATGTGATTTTGTCTCATTTCCTTGGGAATGTTTCAGCGGTTTGTTGGGGGCTCCCAACAAACGAACCCCAAAAAACCACCACCCAGCCGGCCCAAGGCTTATTGTTGCCGGGGCGCTTTTGTTTCGGGGAGCCGGGCGGCAATGGGCTCCGGACTCTTTGCGCAGGCTGGTGAAACCACCGTGCACATTATCGATTGGCCCCTTGGTTGCAGGTGGCCATGAATTTTAATGGGGAACCCCCTCAAAAGTGATTGGTGGATTCATGAATCCCCACCTAAACGATGTCCACCAAAGGATCCCTTTAACATTCATAGCCAGGTGAGTCCCTGATATTGATGGACACAACTGCACGGCGGTCGGGTCCTTTGGCTACGTTGTTTTGGAGATTCCAACAGCTTGCTGGTGCTCAGCCAGCATTACCTTGGCTGTTCTGAGAGATCCACTCAAGGTGGGAGTCGTTTTCAGAGGGGCCAATCAAGAAGACTTTGTTTCGGCGGATTGGATATAGATGATAAATAGTGGGTAGACGGACAGAGAAGCTGAGGCTAGACAGATGGATCAGATTAAGCTCGATTAGGTTAATTAGATGATATGTTGCTGGATGGATGGATGGATGGATGGATGGATGGATGGATGGATGGATGGATGGATGGATGGATGGATGGATGGATGGATGGATGGATGGATGGATGGATGGATGGATGGATGGATGGATGGATGGATGGATGGATGGATGGATGGATGGATGGATGGATAGATGGATAGATGGATAGATGGATAGATGGATAGATGGATAGATGGATAGATGGATAGATGGATAGATGGATAGATGGATAGATGGATAGATGGATAGATGGATGGATCGATGGATCGATGGATCGATGGATCGATGGATCGATGGATATAGATATAGATGGATCGATAGATATACAGAGACAGTCAGATAGGGATGGGCAGTTAGATAGGAAGAGAGAGGTAGAGGGAGATAGGTAGATAGATAGATAGATCGATTAGAACAGAATTGACTAGATTCGGTTAGAATAGATAGGTAGATAGGTAGACAGACTAGGTTGGATTGAGAGATAGGAGAGAGAGAGAGAGAGAGAGAGAGAGAGAGAGAGAGAGAGACATACCAATGTGGGTAGATAGGAAGATAGCTAGATGGAACAGATGCACAGATGCGTATATGTACCGACGGATAGTCAGATAGATAGTAAATGAATAGATGCATGCACCAATAGATGCATGAATCATGCACCAATAGGTGCATGAATGAATGGGCAGGCAGATGGATAGATGGAAGCAGCAGGTCAACAGTCACATAAATGGATAGGCAGGGACAGACGCAACGGCAGCTTTGGGCATTTAATTTGCGTTCGGACTTGTGGCTTCTATTTGGTCTCCGGCTTTTTGGTCATTGAAAAGGCTTTGATGCGGTATCCCAATGGGTAATTGCGGCAAGACCTAAGCGCCACAACAGCCTGGGCGGATGAAGGGGTAGTCCCCACCACATAGGGGCGGATATCCGCCCTTTCAGTTGTTTCTATTTTGTGGGGCAGACCAAGTTTATATAAGACTTACAACCCTATGACTGGTTCATTGAGCGCAACATATGTTGTTTTCACTACCAGGGTGGCGTCCAAGGGGGGCCGGAGCTCTGAGGACACCTTGGGAACGTCTACTATCCGCATTAAACCCGCGCAGGTTTTAATAACCTCCCGGTGTGACAAAGGTGTGTTGCAATCTCTCCCATGGAGATTGATAATTTGATCAAGAGAGTGGATTCTAGCAATCTGGTACCAGAAGCCAAAAAGGATGTGGATAAGTTTGGGGCGGTGTTCTCGAGCCTCTCCCACCAAACACGGCCAAAGTGATTCATTACGAGGAGTGAGCTGAGCGAGTGTCGAAGTGGATGTATACCTCGGTGCTTGCGAGGTATGCGCCAGGCCAGGATCGCAACTCGGACAAGACTCGACCAGAATGATCCCCGGGGTCGGGAAACCAACTAGCAGGGATACAGGGGGAACCAGGGATACGGGAGAATTCTACTTAAATGCATCTTGATATGGGAAATGGCGCCAAGGGAATCCGCCCATATCCCCGCTCCCTCCGTATCCCCGCTTGTTCGTTTGTCCGATTTGGGCAAATTAGTTCCCGAGCGTTCCTTGAGGATTGCTTACCATCAGTTTGTGGAACCCTTTGTTCGATTCTCAAGATTAGGAAGGCACACAGGGATCTCCCATGTTGCCCCTGCTATGATGACCCAAATCTGGCCTTACTAAGGCTTTCTCAGGCTTATTGAGGCTTGCCAGGAAGGCGTCAGTTCGACAGATCGGGAGCGACACTGGAACCCATACGCCTGGCTCAGAAAGGTTCCATGAGAACCCTTCCTGCAGTGAGTCAAGAAAGGCTTTGGCTGAAATGTACAATTTACGCAAGACACGACCACTTCCGAATCTAAAACTCGTATCACATCAAAGCTGATTTACGCAAGCCCCGGGCGCCCTTCGAGCCTCCTTGCCCTACGCTCCCATGTTTGTTTGTTCGTTCCCATCAGGGTTAGTCTTGACTCCCCAACTTGGATAAATTTTGGGACCCACAGCAACGAGCTTTCCCTATTTGGGCACGAGGGCGGCATCAGGGCCGCTCAAAACAAAGAGCCGATCGATGGTTCAGGAGATTCTGGGTGCCTTTTTCCACAAAAAATAAGGTAGCTCCTGGATATCACAACAGAATATACAATAATTATATATATATATATATATTTATTTATATATGTGAATCACATTTTGTCCCTTCCTGTTTGTTTGGTTGTTGCCGCACAAAGGGGGTAAGGGCCCATGCGCAACAGCAAGTTCAATCCAAGCCGCTGAGGATGTAGGATAAGCGTCGCAGACTACGACGCGCTCATGGAAGACCTCGAGAAAGATTTGATCCGCTGCGGCCCTACCTGACGATAGAAGTTGCGTTTGCCCGGCGTCGTCCGGGCGTGCAATTTGAGGCTTGCACAACTAGGTCTTTGAGTGGTATTTTTGGGGGGAGGGTTCCCCTACTACAATAGACTACCCGTATTCTAACTGTAGTACCTAGACAAGTAAACCATTGCCCGCATGTGGCTTGCTTTTGGGGACATCGGGTCAATTTCGGACAAATTCGGATGCCTGCTGCTACTTGGCCCTCACGACCTTGTTGGCTAGCGATGCTGGACACAACCAAAAATGTGTTTTGATCTCGCTTCCTGAGTGGTTGAAGCCTGATTGCTTAATGTCAACCCCGGATACATCAACCCGGTGGACCCATGGGGGAAGGAACTCGTTTGCCTGGAGTGTGCGACCCCACCCAGAATGAATGATCCTTTGGGGAACATGAATTTCAGGTTGGTTGGTTTATATCCCCAGCCATGTTTGTTTGTATGGCACTGGGATGCACGCCCGTCACGGGGGGCTGACTAGATACCGCTTTCCCTAGCCAGGGTGCTCGCATCGATCCCGGTGGGGTGGGTTGTTGGAATTGTTTTATTATCATTGGCACAGACATGAGACGGCATACTCTCCTGTTTGGGGTCTTCCAATTCGAACTGCATGTAGGGAGGGTGAGTACCTCACAAAGGCGGGTGAACCGTACATTTCTGGTCATCGTCCCAAAAGGTTGACCGGTTTACCTTTTACTTCTGGGTCCTTCGGGCACTTGAGTCGTTGTTGGTTTATTGCGAAGCTGTACTCTGGATCAGCCAATGATTAGACCCAATTGTCAGTGCGAGAAGTGTTTGCTTGCCCGAAGCAAGACTCAAAATGAAACGACCGGGTTTGGTGATTTTGAAGACACCCATTTACCTCCCCATGTTGGCCAAAGTACCCTCCCACCGATGTCCCACTCCGACTCCGGGATTGGATTTGAAGCCCGGGAAGAGATGAAGTGCACCGAGGCTTGTTTCAGGGTGCCTCAGTGGACCTTGCAGATGCTACTCGGCATACAGTTGGCTGCCCCCCAAATCGATTCGATTGGTCCGAATTGATTGTTCTACCCAGTTTCATGAGGGTTATTGTAGGGGCCCACGCTTATAATCAGGGTTGGTATATACACCGTGATAGTAAGCGAGACAGTAACCATGTTGGTAGAACCAAAGGTAACCATTGTCGGGCGGTGCCTTTCAGGTTGTAAGTTGCAAGTTGTAAGCCATGTTTTCGCACCTGTTCCATGCTCATACATATTTTGGTAAGGCTTGACCTCTTGATTCCTTTGCTTCCAGTTCCGGCGGGCCAAAGGGGCTTCCCCGTCTCTACGGGGGTCACTGGGAAACCGGGGGTTGGGTTCTGGTTCGTGCAGGTAATTCAGGCAAGGGGGCAGTGGCCCCTTGGCCTCGTGTCTGTATGCCGTGAATTCCACTGGGTGAAAAAAAACAACACCTGAATGATGCCCGCCAACGGGTCCCCTTTGAAAAAACGGAGTCGTAGAATTGCACAGTTTGGGGGGGATGTGCGAATGGGGCATGTACAGACAAACCTGGTAACTGAAGCTCGGTCGGTGATAAGCAGTGATTGGTCCGGGAGAACTTTACTGAATTCCTTGAGCATACAGTGTGTTTTCGTGACCAAGCAACCAGCAGAGGGGAAATTGAGACGGGCCATTTTGAGCATCACCTAATGATTAATGAGGTCACATTGGGCTTATCTTATCCGAGACCTCCACATTTGTGTGCGGGCGCCCGAGGTTTTGTCTGGATTCGGGCCTGATTTGGGCTGGTGTTTGTGTGGTTGCTTGTGTTGCCTGCGTTTGCATCCTGTGGATGCGGTGGCCGATCGTCCTATCAGTAGCGGCCGACCCGCCCTAGTCTCCGGGGAGCTTGGGGCGCCATGGTGCCAACGTTGACGCCACGGCGGGCTGCGGCGCGGTTGAAGGTCCCTCTCGGAGCCTCGGAGGCGGAGATCCGCTCCGCGTACCGCGCGGCCGCCAGGTCGCAGCACCCGGACAAGGCCTCGGGCTCCAGCGAAGAGTTCCTGCGCCTCGGCGAGGCGTTGGAGGTGCTGACGAAAGCCAGGCCGGCGGAGGCCGAAGTTGAGGAGAGCGAGAGCTTGGACCGACGCTTCTTCGGGTCCCACTTCGGCTCAGATCAGTTCGATCCCAGAGCCTGGCTGGGAGAGGCTGACCCCGCGCTGGATGAGCTGCAGTGCGTGTGGCGTTGCAAAACTTGTCCTGAGCAAAGCAGCGTTTGCTGCCGCCTGAAGCCCCGAAAACACTCCTGCCTTTGTGGGCACAAGGTGGAGGTCCACGAGCCTCGCCGCGGCTTCCGCTGCAGCAGTAACGGCTGCCGCTGCGAGCGCCTGGAGTTCTACGTCCAGCAGCTGGGCTGGGAAGCACGTTGTGCGTGCAAGCACCATGTGAGAGACCACAACCAGCTGGGCGGCGCTCCTTGGCCCTGCAGCAAAGTCCTGCCAGGCAAAGACAAGAAGCCCTGCCCCTGTCGGGCTTTCCACGTGGCCTGGGTTTGCACCTGCGGGCACCCCTACGAGGACCACGAGACCAGCTGGCACCGGGCCATCTCCAAAGCCGTCTTCGCGCGGGAGTGGGTGGCGCAGGGTTTGCGGCCCGAGTGCGTGGCGGAGGCGGAGGAGAAGCGCGCCAGGTGGCAGCAGCAGGCGGGTGAGCTTGCGGCCAGCCGCGGTGCAGAGCCCGCGCTGCAGGCGGTGGCGGCAAAGGCGAAACGCCTACAGGTCTCCATGTGCGCGGAGGCCAAGATGCGCGAGGCCGTGCGTGAGGCGACGGACGGCACACGTTTGCCCAGACCAAGCCGGGGCTACCCGACCGGGCAGCCAAGTGCAGACAGGCGCATGCCCCAGGCACCCGGCGAAAGCAATCTGTGCGCCAGTGTCTCAATGGTGGGGTTGGGGTCGCGAAGTTTCAGTTTTCATCATTAGTCTCTTGCTGAGGCACAGAAGCGGATCAAGGCAATGAGAAAGCATTCCTGCCTCTTGTCCCAGGCAGGAGATCGGGCCGTGGGGGGCGAGGGGAGCTTGACAACAAACAAAAGGTGCAGACTCTGTGTCACCAACCCAAGCGCCCAACTTCTCGCCCATACCGTGATTGTTTGCTTTCAACGAGGCCTTAGTTAGGCACAATTGGGTCAAACAACCAGACACTGGTAGCGTTAAAGGTGGAAGCGAAAGGATGTTCATTGGCCATGTGTTTGCCCCCTCCCATTCATGGAAGCTGATATTGTTGAACAAATTCCCACAAAGTCCAGGTACCATGCACCCTTTGAGGATGTTCCTTGAGGATAGGACCCTTTGGGTTCCCAAGGGCAATGTCCCCAACTTTCATAGAGGACCTGTCAGGTGCCTAAGGAAACGTGAGTGTTTCCTTGAAATTGACGGCCTAGCGGACAGCTGATAAACTATGTTGCTTCGGGTCCCTGTTTTAAGGAGGAGGGTGGCAGTGATGAGTTAGATGCGAGCAAGGATCAATGCTCATGTTACATCATGTTACATGTAGTGGGCCGGCTGACATGCTCCTGGGCTAGACCTTGAAACCCCAGTCAGCAAACATTCCATGTTTCGGTCGGGGCCGTAGCTCAACCCATCCGTGTTTAGTTATGGCTTTCAAAAGGATTAACCTTCAATTTACATTTACAGGCTTTAGGGCAGCGAGTCGTCTAGATTGAGGCTTCCCTGTTTGTTTTCTTGGTGGCATTGGTCCAATGAGTTCGGTCAGGTACACCTTAGGTGGTTTGGATTGGGATTTGAAGCCCTGGTTCCAGAGGCTTAGTGAGAAATCCAGTTCAGCTCCAAACCACCACCTGAGATTCCAATGTGTGTGTGCGCGCTGTGAGTTGGTCCCCCCGTTTTTGTTGTGGTTTTGAAGGGACACCCCCCCAAAAGGCACAGAAACACAGGCACCATGTGTTTTTGTTAATGTTTGGGGGATGGGTTTCTGAGAAGAGAAAGTCGAAGGCATAGGGCCTGAGTCTTCAGGACTTTACGGAGCAGCTCCACTGCAATGTCCACGGGTGCTTCGGCGAGGGCCTGACAAGGAGTCCGACGCGATCCCAAGAGGTCACTCAAATCGTTTTTTGTTTGTTTTTTGTTTTGTTTCTTTCTGAACATATGGACACTCCTCCCCCCCAAGAAAAAAGGAGGAAACATAATCCCCAAGAATATGAAGAAATAAGAATCAAACAAAACACAAAGTATGGTAGCGGCTTTCCTTTTGTTGCCCCTCTAAACCAAGCCAACAAAGGGTACCCTCAATGTTGGGGACCCCGCAAAATGCTCAAAATGCTGGTTGGTCTCCTTTGGGTTTCCCATTGAAACTATCGGTGGAGACGCGCCAACTTTTTACATTTTAGGGTAGGCTGGATATGAAGCAAAAAGTGAAGCCACAGGGTTGGGACGAGTTTGGTCCAATGCGTGTGGCAGTAGACCTGAAGCTGACTTAAGGTTTACTTACGGTCTAGCTTGGTCTAAGCTTCCATGCCCAAACGGTCCAACTGATCAGAGCCAATCTGTGACCTTTCCGTTTTCTTCCCCAAGCCTTACTTCGAGGGATTCCATTGTCAGCTTTGTGAGCTATAATTGGTCCGCGTGTGTCCCCATTGGCTGACCAAGTTGAACCACACAAAAGTTCGCCCATCCGGAGATACTTGGCGGAGTTTCAACTATATATAGTTTGTAGCCTGTCAAGTTCAGCACAGCCTGCAGAGTTGATGCGGTGCCTGGTGAGATGATGTGCCCTTCGGGCAGGCGCAGGGCTGACGGGAACTGACCGTACTTTCACTGTGTTGCAAAGGATTGTTTCGGCCAGCCTTGTTTTACTCACTTCTCGAGTTCATGAACTTTATTTTTTTTGGGAAGGCCATTTTAGTGGTAAATCTAAAGTTCGGTTACTTTTTCTGGGCCATCCACTCAGCCAGTGAGTTTCAGGGTGCGCTGTTTGAGTGGCTTGACAGGGGTTCGAGTTCAAAGGGGGAACGGCCCATTTGGAGGGCTTCGTCAACAAAGACTCACTTGCCGAAAGCCGACCTTTTGACCTTTTGGTTTTCCCATTTTGGTCCATTTTTAGTAAAGGTCCCAAAAGGTTAACCTTTTATTTCCAGGTCCTTTGGGCAAGTGAGAAGACCATATATCGAATTGAAATCCCGACTAGAGACCAGCTTTTGGTTGTTTGGACGGAAGAGCATAGCATAAAGACGTCGAGTGGCCGAAGCCAACCCTACCTTCCCCGTTGTTCAGTGACCCGGGTAGACAAAGGGGGACTTTGGGGAAATGACGATTCTCAAACAAAAAGGAGCGAGTGTCACGAACAACTGGGTGTTGCAGAACAACGACTGTTTGCTTCCACCTCGTCACTTGGAAACACAAATGACGTCCAAACACAACGCCACGAGGATCGGGTCAAATTCCTGTCATCGAGTCAACAAACCTTCCCACTGAATGAACTCGTGGGGAGGCCTGAAGGAGCCGGCAATAGGACATCGATGGCTGAACTCGGGGATTGGATATGAGATGTTGTTCGATTTTGGAAATCGTGGGACTTCCTTTGGTGAGTTTCATGTGCTTGGGAGGGTCCAACGGCCAACTCTCTTTGCAACTGTCAAATGGCAACCTCAGCAAAGGCGCACGAGATAGAGAGACAGAGACGGAGAAAGAGAGAGAGAGAGAGAGAGAGAGATAGAGAGAGAGATGGAGAGAGACAGAGATAGAGAGATAGAGAGCGAGAGAGAAGAGAGAAGAGAGAAGAGAGAAGAGAGAGAGAGAGAGCAGAGAGAAGAGAGAAGAGAGATATAGAGAAGAGAGATACAGAGAAGAGAGAAGAGAGAGAGAGAGAGAGAGCAGAGAGAAGAGAGATATAGAGAAGAGAGATATAGAGAGAGACGGAGAAAGACAGAGATAGAGAGATAGAGAGCGAGAGAGAAGAGAGAAGAGAGAAGAGAGCAGAGAGCAGAGAGAAGAGAGAAGAGCGAGAGAGAGAGAGAGAGAGCAGAGAGAAGAGAGATATATAGAGAAGAGAGATATAGAGAAGAGAGAAGAGAGAAGAGAGAAGTGAGAAGAGAGAGAGAGAGAGCAGAGAGCAGAGAGAAGAGAGAAATCGAAGAGAGAAGAGAGGAGAGACGAGAGAGGAAGGAGCGAGAGAGAGGGAGGGAGACCACAATACCCCTAATGTTCAAAAAGCAGTGGTCCAGACTTGGGCCGCCGGTTTCCCCCGTGCGGCGAGGAAGCTGAAAGCCGTGGAGCAGATGCTGGTTCAAGACGTGAAGCAAGCTGAGAGGTCCGCCCAACCATCCGAGCGTGTGAGCCAGCGATTTCCTTAAGCTTCCCAAGGAGGTAGAGAACAAGTTTGGAATCAAGTCCACGGAAGCGAGGCTCTTTGAATGGTTTCATTCACCGTTCGGCTCTTTCAATTCAAAGCTCTAGTTTCCTGTGGGTGGTTTAAAGCGAGAATCAGAAAAAAGGAACATGGTATTTTCAGTGATCCGTGACATGAAATGCAGGACGGATCAAGCACCCCGAACAGACTGGGCCCCTTTTGATCAGGTTCAGCTGGGCTTGGTCCTAACTATGGTTCATGTGAGCGTCGACCACACCATTTGCGTCCTATGACCCCTTGTCAAACAATTGGCAAATTCTACCGCCTCGCTTGCCCAAGGTCAACCTATTTGACCTTCGAGCTTCCCCTGGTTGGTCTTTGTTTTGGCCCCCAACAGTTGAACCCCTTTTTTTTCCCCGTCCTTTGGGCAAAGCAGTATAGTTCCATAACCTGATGAGAAAACACGATCCTTCGGCTTCAGAAACCGGAACCTTCACCAAGGGTGGAACCTCTCGTGGTACAGCCAAGTGAAGCCAATCACTCCCCTGCAAATGAACATGGAGCCCCCAAAGGGGCTACCCCAAAAGGCATTCCTCTACAAATCATGGATTTGCGTACCCCGCGTCAATTGCCAGTGGAGTAGTCAAAGTTCAATTTCCCCATTGTATCTTGCGCATTCCCTTTGAACTTTACCCACTTGTACTATTGTTGGCCCTGGTGTCGTTCCTTTGCACCTTGTTTTTCCAGAGTGTGCCCTTTTGAGATGGTTTTCAAGACAGGCCAACGCCTAAGAATCTTGGGACCTTGAAAGGGCCCTTTTGAGGTAACCCCATGATGCTTCAGGAAATAAACTCACCAACTGCATTTGGAGTGTATCTTTCAGTGCACCCTTTTTGCGGGTGCTTCTTAGGGAACCCGCAAGAACTGCATCATGGTCTGTCTTTCTTTTCAGGCCTCCCAAAATGGCTTCAGTGTTCCGTTTGGTTTCCCCTCACCCAAAAGATGCCCATTTGGGTCACGCTGGGACCGCGCTTCGAAGAAGAGGCTTTGGGCTTCGGCCTCTTTTGCCTGGGCCGCGTGCAAGAGCCCTGACTGGACGTCCAGCCCCGGCCTCGATCGAGGGACGGAGGGAGATTGGGCCGAGTCAAGAAGGGCCAGCGGGGAGGGGGGGGGAAAGGGGGGGGGGGGCAGTTTTCTTGAGGCACCTGGATGGCCGTTGGTGGGTGGGTTTAAGGTTGATTTTGGGTGGGTCTAGACTTAGGGCTCGTGTTGCGCTTCTTTTGGGCTGGATGATAGAAATCGAGCGTTGCCCCTTGATTTGTTTATTTCTTCCCCCTGTTTTTTGGGCTGCATGACCTGTTTCCCCCTGCTGTGGGGTGTGAAGTCGGCCGTCTTGGATTTCGCAAGGAACGTGTCTCCGTTCTTGGAAAGAGGCCAGGTGAAAAGGCCCCCAACTGCTCTTCCCATGTCCAGACTCCCAAGCGCTGTGCAAGAGGCAGTGGCTGGGACCCGGATGCGCAGAGTCGGAGTCAGCTTTTGTTGGGGTTGCTCAGAGCGGGATGAATGGAGCCCATTGTGGTTCTCAAAGCCGCTTTGGGATCCCATTTTGGTTGGGATTGGTGAAATCACCACCCATCTTAGAACCTTTTTTTGTAGTTGGATTGGGATGTTTACTGGGACCCATGGCCATTTGGCGAGGCGTTCGGGGGAGAAACGATCCAAGTGCGACATCGGCAGGTCCAACCTGCCTAACCCGTAATTTCAGATTTGCTCCAGGCAACCGCAAGTTGTTTCAGCTGGGCTTGTCTCAAAACAAGGGCACGCCCCCCCGTTTGGGTTGGTGTCCTTTGGTTTCCCTGTATAACACCTCAAAAGATGGTGCCGAGCCTCAAAAAATACACCCTCAGCCTCAACTTTCTGTTGCTGTTTCAAGGGGAAAGCAAAGGAAGACCACCAAAAATGTGCGGATTCCCATGGTTCCGGACATGCGGCGTTTCACGGGACAGTGTCGTTGCAAGGATGCTCCCTTTTGCGCTTCCAGGAGGAATCCATGTGTTAGAATCCGGGGGTGTTTCTGAGGTCACCTTAAGCTTAGGTTGGTAGAGAAAACACCGAAAGGAACACCCATGGGCCACTCAAACACGCGATGCTTTCAGGTTGACTCCGAGTCCGTGAAGGAGTTTGCGCATTTGTGAAGATCGTGAGTTGGATAGGCCGCTAGGCCTTCGTCGAGTTGCCCGTTGTGGTTGTGGATTCCGCGTTCCGCTAACGGCTCAATGTTTACTGCCATCGATTTGCCCAAAGCACCCAAGGACCCCTACTTAGTTTGCTTCTTCCGTGAGTTATTCGAACTTGTGCAGATGAATCCACAAGCCAGATGCGCTGCGAAAGTCTACACTTGCGCGATGGAGCCAGTGTGGGTGTTCCTCGGTTCGACCGGTCGAATGGACCGTGTGTAGAGCGGGGAATTTTTCTCAATCGCAACTCCGAGCCCTCCAGCACCGTCGGGATTCTACGGAAGAGCTCTCACGAGCGCCTGGGCCCTTCCCAGAGTTTCCTTTCTTGGAAATGTGAACCGCGGATTGATAAACCCCTGTTTTGTAATTTTTGGTGGGTGTCCCGTTTTTTTGGGATTCATCACTTCTGGAGGTAACACTCCCCAAATAATGGGACGGGTTTATTAATCGGTCAATATTACAAGGCAAAGAATGTATGGAGTGGGCCCCCGCCTAGACCTTATTTCCAGTTGGGACAGTCCCAATAAACTGAGCAGGTGACCCCTATGTATAGCAGTGTGTGTGTGTGGTGGTTCTGCCGGCATTTGTCACCATCAGATTGCACCAAGTTATACCAAGGTCAGCGATCTTTGGTGGGGATTGTTTTTCAAGCTAACCCATAGTACGGCTGCTTCCCTCGGGATGTTTCAGTCGGTAAATTGTAATGTCATCAAATGTCGACCCCTGATTGCTAACCAGCCTGGCTATGAATCATGGGGGTCCGACTGAAGAAACGAATCCGCGCTAAAAAGAGACGCGGGTAGGAAGTTTGTTAATCAGGGGTCAGCACGATGATTTATGGAGTTTGGGAGCATGAAACCAACCTCACCTGGGTATGCCACCCGAGCCATGACGAACGTGTTTTCTCACAGACCATTTCTTATTTGCGATGGAATGGGATTTAGCTCAGGCTTCAATGGGATTTAGCTCGTTGCTTTGGTCCCTTGACAGGTTTGGGGTCCATTGGGAGTTGGCTGGGCACAGGCTTTGGCCACTTCCCCTCTGCCAGGTTTTCTGTCGCACGTGAAAGCACATCTTTGAGTCAGTTGCTTGCACTTCGGAAGCTTCGAGCGGGAGCTGCGAGCGTTGCCGAAGCCCGGAAGTAGTCAGTTGGACCTAGTTTTTGCTTTGGATGTTGCTTGGTAGCTGAGATTCCAGCTCTACAATCATCCAGGTTGCAGCTGATAGTCTGATATGTGTGGAGGGGCTGCATGTATTTGCCTGCTAGCATACCAGCGCTAGCATGCCAGCATATACCAGGGGCTGGGAAGGATAGTATCATCGCGAAGAAGCGAGCTTACCCATGTCGCTGGAAGGCATTCCTTCACGGTTGGTGGTCGGTTTTCTTGACTCTGGTTTCTGTTTGTGTGTGTGCGTTCTTCGACGTAAACCATGCGCGTGGACTCACCGGCTGCCTTGCCATCTCAGATCCAAACAAATGATTGCAATCGGTGAATTCCGTAGGAAGTAGGTGGTTTCCACATCTGAATCCGCTAAGACTTAGATCTGTTCCCTTGGGCTACTGGCATATTCAGGATGTGTCATCGAGTCATCTTGCAACCAAGTTCGGCTGATGTGTGCAGGGCTGGATGAAATTCCCATCTCTCCGTCCACAGCCGCGATGGCTTTTGGCCAATCCCCGCTCAGGACGAAACTTTGCTGGGCCAACAGGCATTCGGCCCCACTGTCCAGGTACCCGGTGGGCTTCCGTTTTTGTTCTTGTTTGAGGCTTCCCGTTGAAGTCGACCAGAGAAACACACGTTTTCATAATCACTTCCAGGACCAACAACAAACAAACATCACTTCCTCTTATAGGGGGGGGGGGGAGACCGTTTTATTAGGGGGACAGGATCAAGTTTGCGTGCCTTTTTTTTTTGCGAAGCCCACTGGGCTGAGGTTATTCTCGGAGCCAAAGCAGGGGAGCTGACTCGAGATTTTTGCGGCTCCGCTCCAAATGCAAACCCGCATTGATATCTGAGATGTCGTCCTCAGGGGTATTTTTGGGTGTGGCTCCAAATTTCAGAGCTTACGCAGGTTTTAGTCTCTGCTGCAATAAGCAAGGTGGCCTTGAAAAACGACAACCTGACACCCCCATGAGATATCAATCTGCGCATATCAATCCTGGGTTCCTGCTCGTGCCTGTTGGCACAGACATGTGGCACCGAACAGAAAAGTTGCGCGCAGAAAGCGGCGGCGGGCCACTTTTCCTGTGAATTGTGTGGCCCAGAAGAGGATGCAAGGTCCATTGATGGACAACCCGTGACGCACTGTTCATTGATTGACAACCCGTGACGCACTGTTTGAGTTATCCTCCCACTGACTAACATGGAAGTGCACAGACCCCTGTAGAAAGACTACTTTCCTCTTGGAAAGGGGCTTTTGTGCACTTTCATGTTAGTTGGTGGGAGGGCAGCAAACAGCGACAGTGACAGAAGAAAGGTTTTGGGGAGAGATATGGGAACATATGGCTGTGGTTGTCAAGAATAGGGTAACCCAGAATGGGGCATTCCCTGGAAAATGGGAACATGAACCAAATCCTTTTTGGTCCAATTCCTGGTGGTTTAAGTTTGACCCACACCCATACATCCACCGGCCGACTCGAACCTGCTCTTTTCCCTATTGCCTTTGGCCTGTTTTCCAAATAGGCGCAGATAAATCACACTGCCGGATGTGTTGAATGTTGAAATCACTTGAAATGTGCTGCTCTTTTTGCGTTTGCTGGCTTCAGGACATCCCCAGTGTCCATTTCGGGTCTCACTGGTCTGTTTCGGGCACATGGGCGAGTGACGCGGGGGACCACGGGGATTCAGCTTTTGCCCGCAAAACGGGGGAATTCGTTTGTATCTGTGTTCCCACCCTCGAGATTCAAGTTACAGCTTGATGTTTGAATGACATCCGGCAAGCTGGCGATATGAAACTCACTTCCTGAGTTCATGAACTTTAAACTTTTTGGGAAGACCATTCTAGTGGTATATGTAAAGTTTGGTTACTTTTTTTGGGCCATCCACTCAGCAAGTGAGGAAATCCTCAAATCGAGCCTGTTGGCGGCTGAGTTCGGATCTGCGCGGAATTTCTCGGTCAAGGCCGTTGTGGCTTCCAGACCTGAGCTGGGTTCCCGCCGTGCCTCCCAATTTCTCCTGTGGCCAAAGACTCACTTCCTGAGTTGGTGGACTTTAAACTTTTTGGAAAGACCATTTTAGTGGTAAATAAAAAGTTCAAACTTTTTTTGGCCAGTCAACTTGGGAAGTGAGAAGAAAGCAAACAATGGAACATATTATAATATGTCCACGCCAAGAAGATACACATGATGGATAATATATATATATATATGTTGTATGCAGACACGCATAGCAGGTCTCCCTTCAATTCTGCTTTGCGTTGGCATTGGCTCAGTGTGCCTTTTCGGATCGAAGTTGAGCTGTGGTCTTCATGATTCCGACTTGTTCATGTGACGAGCGAGCAAAGAGCAAAGTCGAATGACAGTCAGAAGCATGTTTGCATTGGGTGTTTATGAACATTGCATTTCTGTTTTTAAACACATGTTTGAACGAAGCAAAATACACGTTTGATGCCTCTCCTTTTGTGGGACATGACTTTGCCACCGCGCAGAACTGTTCTAGGGACCTGGTCCGTTGGAGAAAAGGTCCATATGCTCGAGAACATGTTTTCTATTCCCGCCCCATTGGAAGGGTTGATTCCCTTCCATTTACTTAGGAATACGTCTTATTTCTTTCTGTTGTTTTTACAGAACCTATCACGACTAGAGGTATTTCTACTTTTCCTGGAAAACTTGAGCATACGGAAGACTTCAGGATTGATGTCTGGCCGTATTCAAGGGCCTCTTTGATTGAGACACCCGACAACTTCCTCTTTCGTGTTCAGGAAGTGTTCATGGTTCAGGAACCCCGGAACACCTTCACGTAAAAGACTAGCAGGTTCTGTTTGGTTTGCTTTCTGGCTTGGCAAGGCAGGTAGCTTGAAGGGTCCAGGTGTTGGTCCGATCAAAGAAATCATTCAGCCCAGGTCGACCTGGCTTGCAGCCGTCCTTGACCATTGACAGGACCCCCTTTTTTTCCGGAGGATCTCGACGCTTTGCCAGGGCAGTTTTCAGTCGCATGGGATCTCTCGATGTTCTGATGTGGCATGTCTGGGATTTTCTCGTTTCACAAGTCCCGGTGCAAGATTATCAGATCCCGGATCAGCTTGCCATCAGTTGGTGTCCTCACCTTTTGTGGCCTCGCCCATCAAGATTCCTTATTTTGGTGTGTCTTTTTTAGGGGAGCTCCAAAATGGTGGTGTTTCTCTCGATTTTCCGTCACACCACCAAACAAGGGGAGCCTTAAAAAGAAACAGACCCAAATTAACGTGTTTGTGTTTCCTTGGGCACGGTTGTGCAATCTAAAAGTACATATCCCTTGGTTACCATTGACCCTCTGGTCGCGTGGACGGTTGAAATTGAAATCGACCCGATTCTTGTTCAAGAACGGGTTCCGATCTATCTAGCGCCCAGGTCTCAATCATTGCTCTTTGGAAACTGCTTGGGGTTTTGGAGATGGTCAATAAAGCAGGCAAGTTGGGGGGTGCTGGATTTGGTGGGCTGTTTAGACTTGAAGTCTTTTGTTGGAAAGTGGTGTGCTACAGCTTGGTGCAAAAACGACATTTCAACCTTGTGGTTTCCCCTTTTGGTCCCCTTTTAGTAAGGTCCCAAAAAAGGTTAGCCTTTTATGTCTGGGTCCTTCGGGCAAGCGAGAAGAACCAACAAGTCTAACAGTTTAACAGGGGCATTATTTTGACGGTTTCTGGGGGTTATCAAAGTCAGAAATGGGGTTTGTTTCCCTTTAACCCACCACTTAGGGGCTGACTTTGAGCATGGTAAAATCATGAGGCCAGTTGAACTCTTCGCACGGGATTGTGCCATCCAGAGAGAAAGAGCTCTTCATGGCTCACCCAGCCATCAGGACCTCTGGCGAGTTCGTGCCCGACCAAGTGCGGACGAACTCGCAGATGTACGTGACCGCACAGGACGAGATCGATGTCTACCCCACACCTTGACGGCTTTTTCAGGGCGCTGCCCAGAAATTCGACGGACAGCATGGTTTTAGGGTCTGGATCTTTGAGCTTTGAATCATTTGTTTTGTTTTGAAAAAAACTTGTTTTTCTTGCCAAAATGTGAGTTCTCCCAAAAGGATGCTCAAAATGAAACAGTTGTGCTTTAGTTGGTTGAACTTTCCTGTTGATACCCTCCCTTCTGCTGACAGAGCGCACCCCGCAAGCTTACTTTCCTTTTGGAGGTGGACCTGTCAGGTGCCGTTTCTAGTGACGAGCATTGCCCGTGGGCTCAAGATGTTTGCTCGGGGCTCCGGGCTCTTTCCGGTTTCCCCTCTTTCTCGAAGTGTTTGCGGCTGCTGCGTGATCTTTGGCAACGTAGCCACAGGCCTGAGATCCTGCAAGAAGGAAAGAAAGTCTTAGGTACTTGTTTTCCAGAGGAGCTTGGGGAGTTCACCTTTCAGTGGAGGAAGCGATCCATGTGTCCAAACAACTGTCCAAGGCGGGCTGTGCCCAATTCATAGCTCTCGCTTATGGTATCGTGAAGGGCAGATTGGATTTGGGCGAATCTTTCAAGAAGATCGCGAGGTTTTCAAAAGGGGATTACACCAATAGGAAACAACCTTTTTTGGGGTAGGCTTGAAGTTTCCTTCGGGGATTCAGGGGGTTGGTTGGGGTTTAGTATGTGTGGTCCAGGGCGAGTTTGAATGGGGGCTTGGGCTGGGTTTGGAAGGAGTAGTGTTTTTAGGTCGGGTTTAGCGTGGGGTTTTGGGGTTTGTGTAGGGCTTGGTTCAGCGCTTGGTTGGTAACGACGTGAGGAGTGAGGAAGGACATTCTCCGTTCACCATCATTTCCTTTGTCTCTGATGTCTCTCTCCTGTCCATTCACTATCTCTCACACATTAAGTCTTCTCCATGTAATTCCTGATGCAGCAAATGGGTGAAGATTCATGAGTTGGCCACCAATGGTAAGCGATGGAAGGACTGTCCGGTGTGTGTCTTGGAAGGAACGTATCTCACCTGTCCTTCCCACACATCCTTCCCGCTCCTTTCTCTCGCTCACAGACACTCACTTCCTCCATGTCGTTCCTAAGGATGAGTCGCGTGACAGAGGAAAGCGACCGGGATTCATGTCTTTCATCCCTAACAAATACATGAATTACAAGGATTTTATCATCACCTTATCTTATCTCCAATGACCGCGAGGGAATGGACACGTGACAGCATTCAACATCTCACTGTCAAGGATTCTACATTTCACCCCTTCCCTCTCTCTGTATCCTCGTTTGGGGTGGGCCTCGCATCTGTAGAAGGATTGGCTTAAGGTAGATTCAAAACTGTCGTTTCAATGGTCTGAGTTAGGCTTTGGTCGGGTTTCAATCGTTCACCTGCTGGTTGTTTGTCAGAGGTGGGTAGGGTGGGTAGAAGATTTGGGTTACAGGCTATCTACCAGCGTCTTGGTTTTTGGTTTGCAACAGGTTGGTTCCCCTTTGATGTCAGGAAGCACTAGTTGAAGCAATGACCCACGTTTGGAAAGTAGGTTTCCACCATAAACGGGTTTGTCTCAAAATGGGGGAACCTCTAAAATGGGTGGATTCCCTTTGAAGCTCTCCCAACACCATGAAGCTGGAGCTGGCAACCGAATTTTATGGGGTTTCAGCTGGCAGGACAGTCTGGAGAATCCAATGATCAACCGCTTAGTGCGTCGCATCTATAGGCTGGCGGTCAGGGGGAAGGATTGGAAAGGTGTGACTGATAGCCAAAACAAGGGATCCAAACGGTGTGAAAGTGTTTCGACCTAAATTTAGACGCGTTTTACATCGGTGAAGGGGAAAGTTTATCATCATCTCTTGAACACAATGAACCTCGACCGTGAGACGCTCATCGACCTTGTGGTCTCTTGGACATTTGCAGCGTTGGCACATGATTTGTCATGGTCGCCAAAGGCTAATCCACGATTGCCATGCCTTCACAGAGGTCATCATGTCGTTTGCGGAGCTAGTGGCCGATTTGTGGTTTGCAGCGGCCCCTCAGTCGACTATACTGTCTTTCAATGAGGCGGTCTCATGAATGCCGTCGCCACTGGAATTATCAGGCGTCCATAGGCATCCCTATATGATATGTGTCCTTTTTGGATTGCTAGAGAGCGGCTAAAGAATGATCTCTTGGTTGTCATGTTAAAGCGAGTTGATATGTTGTTGCGTGGTGATGTTAGGGGACATGCTCACGAACCAATCCTCGAGCTTGGCTTCAAGTGTGAGAGAGCAGCACATGCTGGCCACAGGGCGCTCTTTGCACGGCAAACTAGCCATACAGTGGTGAAACTTCACCGAAGAACCTACAACTGTCCAATTTTCCCGTGCCGTTGTCCCAAGATAAGGAATCCTTTTTAGCATTGAAACCATGAAAGAACACCAACTTTCTGGAGGCCCCGTTTTTTATTTTGAGGAACACCTGCTTGAAAGCAAACCACGGGAAGCGGGAACTCGCTTAGCGAGCCACAGCGCTCCAAGCCGCTCGTTTGCTATGCTGAGCGGAGAGGAGGAGGTTGAGCAGAAGTTCCTTTGCACCGAGGCCACGGGGTTTGATCTTCCGGGCCAAAGGGTGGGAATTCCCTTCCATTTGCTTCACTGGGGTGGACTTAGGATACATTTTAGATTTTAGCAGTGGCTCAAAGTGAAGCAAACAAAAGAAGATTCATGCTATTACTGGGCCTAACTCTAATCATGTTAAGAACTTGCTGTATTTTCGCTGTTGGCGTTGAAGGAAACCTAGACCCTACTGGAAGTATGTTGTTCTTTTCCAGGGGACGAATCCGAAAACGGAAATTCGATCCTGAGAACCAGCAAGATGTTCAACACAGTGCTGCTTTCGCACATGTGCCTGTTGGGTTCCCTACAGGACCCAAGCTTGTGCTCGTTTCTCGGGCTGATTCCAGCCTTTCTTTGCACCCGTCATTCTCTCAAGATAAATTATGCCACTCTCCCCAGCTGATTGGCCACTGTTGAAGAGAAGGATCGCAGACGAGAATGTCAACCAAACAACCAGGCAGCCAACCGCCAAGCAAACAACCAGCGAACCAACGAACCAACCAGCCAACCAACCAACCAACCAACCAGCCAACCAACCAAACAACCAACCAAACAACCAAACAACCAACCAACCAACCAACCAAACAACCAACCAACCAACCAACCAACCAACAAAACAACCAACCAACCAAACGAACAGCCAACCAACCAAAGAGAAGCCAACCAAACAACCAGCGAGCCAACCAACGAGTCGCAGAGGAGCATGGCACAGCCCTTTTCTCTTGTTTTTTTCTTTTCGACCGAGGCGGTGCGCGAGCGGATCTTGGCATTCGATGCCCCGCCCCACCGGACTACCATGACAGCGCCTCGGTCGCGAGTCGCGAGGGCGCCAGTCGCGCGGGCCCACGTGGAATCTCCTCCAAAACACCATGGTGGTCCCCCTCCAGTGCCGAACCCCCAACCAAAAGGGGATTTTTTGGGGGGGCGAGTCCCCTATGAATCAACCGGTGGTTTATTTTATTCGGTTCCCACCTACAGAATGTTAACTCCTTTGCTCGGTTGCTCGTCCTTGTTTCCGTTTGCCAGAGGTCCATTTTGGGTACATCTCGTTGAGGCCTTCATTGGGGTTCTTGTCAAATTATCAATCCAAGCCACCGACCAAGGGTTACTCAGCTCCTTCAAAGGTATGTAGGTCGACGAAATGTTAAGCAGAACCTGAGAATACTTGATTTGGGGAGACAGAGACCAGACACAGAGACGGGAGAATCTGAGTTTGCAAAAAGGAAACAAGCAGAAACATAAACAAACAAGGTCAACCAACGAAAAACAAATGAACATAAGAAGCAAGGACGACCCAAGGAGGATTCCAACCTTCAAGATTTGGCTTGTCAGACATCGCGTCCGCAAAAGTAGCGCCACATCCATTGGGCAACTGGGTCAGCTTGCTAATTGTTGGTGTTTTGTTTCCACAGCACGTGTATGCACGTGTGCTGAAACTTGTCTTGTGAACGAACAAACATGTCAAAACAGTACCATCACTTCTTTGGAAATGCAACAAACAAATACTTTCCCAGGCGGTTGATCGAAAGGTCCATTACATCGGATGACAATCGGGGAAAATCGCTAAACAGATGATATGCCCCATTGACAAAAGTTACCCATGGTAATTCCAGGCCCTGAATTTTGATCAACCCCCAGATAGAGGCGTGCCTTTTTTTAGTTGGTACCCCCTTTTTGGTTGGTTTCAAAAAAACACCAAGTGTTTTTGTTTGGACAAAGCTTCATGGCTACGTAGGGGTTAGCCTACCAACATGGAACTTGACTGGAGCTTGTACTTTGCCATGAAAGGACCTTCTTTGGTGGTTCCAGTTGAATGTTTTTGTTTGAATGAGTCCCCTTTTCGGTTGAATTTAGAGGACGATAGGAAAAACTGCATCCTGGCGACTGGAAAAGGGGCTGGGGCGGGCCTCTCATTGGCCCGCCCCATGTAGATGCCTTCTCAGGTTGGTCTCCACTCATTGGCCCCTTATTTTGCACCATTGTGCGTGTTCGGACCATCAGCCCTGTGCGACAGTTTCTCCCAAAGCTGACTGGGGGTCCTTTGGGTAGGTAGGATCCCCGGCTGAAGGTGAGGTCTGGAAGGCTAGAGATACACACCCCACCCTCCGACCGTCTAAGTTTTATTTGCGGAACTACCGGGTATTTGGCAGTACTTCCGAAAATAAATTAAAAGACAGTAGATCCCCTATCTACGGTTGTTTCACGTTGTCCCAAATAGTAAAAGATAAGCCCACGTGGTGACACGGTGACACGGGGTGACACGCAGGCGACACGGGGTGACGCTGGGTCGCGCAGGTGACACGGGGCGACACGGGGGCGACACGGAGCCGACACAGGGTGACACGCAGGTGACACGGGGCGACACGGGGTGACACGCTAAAACTACTGTTGTTCGCAGCGATCTACTGTTGTTCTAACATACTGACATGGGGGCGACAGGGGGCGACATGGGGTGACACGCAGGTGACACGGGGTGACATGGGCTGACACGCTGTGAGGCGCTTGCTGCACTTGCTGCCACCCCTTGATTGCTACCACCCCTGCTATGGCATCTCCCCGTTGTAAGCAGTAGCTAGCAGTAGTTAGACTATGGGCATCTCGTAAATAAAATCATTGACAGTAGTTGTTCCAACTATGGTCGTTTTTAGGAGATTTCTATCTCCTGCCCCCTGGGCAGTAGTCGGAGGGTGCTGGCCAATACTCATTGTTTTTTTTGGCAGCGGATACCAAAGGCGGCTACGCAGGTTTCCTTGGGTTGCCCCCTAGGTTACAATCCATCCTGTAAGTCTTAATGGCAACTCTAGCAGGTTGTCGGTCTCCAGATTTAGAACTCTAACCGTTCGGTAGTTGTTTCTCCAAGGGTTTCCCCTTGTTCCCCCTAATGTTGACCCCATAGTAATTAACCCCAGTTTATGAATGGGGGGTGTTCCCCTCCAAAAGTGATGGTTCCTCACTAAACCTAGGGACTCCCCCGTATTAATAGGCAGGGGTTGATTAATAATATGGTCAACTTTTAGATCTTCGAGCGTCCGTACGAAGTTTTTTTGTTTTTGCATGGGTTTGGGGCAGACCCATCCTTTGGTAGGCTTTTCGATTCGACTCAAGAACGACTCGCCTGAACTGAAACCGAACGCGAGTCGGATGGTGTTTCTTTGTTTGGGGAACCCCATTACAAATGTTGCTGTTTTTTTTGGGTTGGTTTCGTTTCAAAACCGACCAAACAATGGGTACCCTGCTTCCCTTTTTGCAACCTCCAGAAGTGGCAGTTGCAATGGAGACCGCCAGTGTCTTGATCAACTTGCTGCGGGGAAATCCGGTTACCCCTGTCAAAACAAGACGAGCCGCCCCAAGACGGCTTCGGTTTTCCTCTTGGTTTCCCTTGAAATCCAACAAGAAAGCATGGATACCAACTCCAAAAAATCCTCATGAGTTCAAGAGTCGGATAAAAAGGTAGCTGGTGAACAGAAACTCCCCCCCCGCCCACCGATGTTCATGGAATTCATTCCCCCCCCCCTTTTTTCCCCGCCAGCTCGAAAAAAAAAGAAAAAGACGAGCGGCCCAGGACGTGTACTACGACACCGCCAGCTTCAGCCTCACCAAGAAGGACCTCTGGCTCCGGCGGCGGAACGGGTCCTGGGAACTCAAGTGGCCATCGCAGGGCCACAACCGCGCCGGCCAGGCGAAGGGGGGGGAGTTTTTGGGGTTGCGCGCCGTCTGTATACAGTATGTATATATACATATATATATATATATAATAATAATATATATATATATACCGAGAGATTTATGATTTGTGTTTTTTTCAATTCCTGTATATATATATATAATATTACACATTCCTGATTATAGATACGTGCATATATATATATATATCTATACACATGTTTATGTATTTCTAGTGTCTTTGTTTGCTTTTTGGGGGGTCCCCTTCATCAGGGCAACCCCTGATGGGTTGAGATTGGTGGCTGGGGGAACTCTTGCGCGACGAGTTGTTTCAGAGGAAAATCAGGGCTGTTTCGATGACGATACGGTTCGGTACCGCAAGCTCCGCGATACCACTCGATTTTATTGATATGTATTGCTTTGAATATCTGATAAACTTGCGATACAGCAGGGGAGTATTGAACAATATCTCGATACTCAACCGCTGGGCGCTGCGGCTGCGCGCTGGTGTGCAAGCTGTGCTGCCAACAGGCCGGGAACCTCGAATTCGTCGCCAAAAGCCCGAAAGAAGCAAGAATCGAGCCAGCACTTGTGCAGGTGCAAGAGCCAGACACAATCCACTACACCAAAATACTCCTTACAAGCCTCCTCAAAAAAAGGTCTGAAATCGACATTAATTTTGGTCACCCTCAGGAACCCTCAAAAACGATCTAACTCGCCGAGTTAGGTTGATTTCTGGCCTCGGCTGGTTGCAGCTGTCCCGGATGAGCCCTGAGTGGGAACCCTCAAAAACGATCTAACTCGCCGAGTTAGGTTGATTTCTGGCCTTGGCTAGTTGCAGCTGTCCCGGATGAGCCCTGGGAAGTGGGAACCCTCAAAAACGATCTAACTCGCCGAGTTAGGTTGATTTCTGGCCTTGGCTGGTTGCAGCTGTCCCGGATGAGCCCTGAGAAGTGGGAACCCTCAAAAACGATCTAACTCGCCGAGTTAGGTTGATTTCTGGCCTTGGCTGGTTGCAGCTGTCCCGGATGAGCCCTGGGAAGTGGGAACCCTCAAAAACGATCTAACTCGCCGAGTTAGGTTGATTTCTGGCCTTGGCTGGTTGCAGCTGTCCCGGATTGAGCCTTGGTAAGCGGGAACCCTCACAAACGGTGTAACTCGCCTACAGCTGTCCCGGATGAGCCCTGTTAACGAACTTCTTTCTGGCCAGTTGCAGCTGTCCCGGATGAGCCCTGGGAAGTGGGAACCCTCAAAAACGATCTAACTCGCCGAGTTAGGTTGATTTCTGGCCTTGGCTGGTTGCAGCTGTCCCGGATGAGCCCTGGGAAGTGGGAACCCTCAAAAACGATCTAACTCGCCGAGTTAGGTTGATTTCTGGCCTTGGCTGGTTGCAGCTGTCCCGGATGAGCCCTGAGAAGTGGGAACCCTCAAAAACGATCTAACTCGCCGAGTTAGGTTGATTTCTGGCCTCGGCTGGTTGCAGCTGTCCCGGATGAGCCCTGGGAAGTGGGAACCCTCAAAAACGATCTAACTCGCCTGGGAAGTGTTCAACATGGAATCGGCTTGAAGCAGTCTCAGTCTGTTTCCTTGGCTTTCCATTTCTCCAAAGAGGGTCTCTTCTAAGCAGCCTCTCAAAGACTTTGCCAGCGCCTCCCGTGCCAGGCAGCCACCAGCACAGCAGCAGCTGGCTGCCGCCCTTCTGGCCCCAAAGGGCCCCTCAAAGCAAACCCCAACCGATACCGATACAAATCGGTATGATTCAAAACGATTTGCAGCGATAGTCTTCGATACGATGTGAGGTTGCGATACTTGCTTTTCGATACCGATAGCTCGCAATACGCAGCGATACGATTCGGTATGTTGTATTTGTATTGTTGAAACGACCCTGAAAATGCGGTTCTGCAGTTTTCGTTTTGTCTGGGGTCCCTGCTGAGAAAACCCCGTCAACACGGAATCAAGGGGGGAATTTTCGGAGGAGAGCCCTGGTTTCCAGGGACGCCCCTGAGAAATGACTGAGAATCGGCTATGGGGTCTCAATATGATTCTATGGTTTCAGGTTGACCTGCTTATGACACAGAATGGGCTAAGTGCAGAAGGAGGTGCCGCTGGAAATTCGTTTGTCTTTTGGTCGGCCCTACTGGGTTGATCCTTTTGCCTAAGGACCGCACCTGAGGTGCTCGTAGAAATTTGGTCAGCAGTATCCTTGGGCCTCCAGGTGCATGGAACCTGATCGAAGATTTTGGCTGGAGAGACTCCCCTGCGCAACCAATCTTTGGTCTTCTGGATGGACGAAAACCGTTTCGCGCCACGTATCAGAAACCCTGGAACGATGACTTCTCTGTATATACCAAGAAACCTTGGTTTCAACCATGGTTTTATTTCGTGGTGCGAAATGGATTGCTCCTTACGTTGCTCAAAGACCACGCCACCAACAGCCCTGAGTCACTCTGTTCAGCAGTGGCCAGGCCACCTGCAACATCTCTCTGTGTGTGGGTGTTTCCAAGTTTCTCGCTCACAACACAGTGATATACACTGGCCAGTTGAAAGATGGCAAAGCCATGCTTGCGTCGACTGTTGGACACGGGATTTAAGGGGCAATTTTCTGTACCTACTGTGCCTACTGTCAAGGAAACCCTTCTACGTAGAAGGAGTCATGCAGATGGCCCAAGCTGGCATCGCAGGCTTTCGGGTCATAAATTGCGCAGCGTAGACTGTTTCGTTTGGGGTCTCAGTGTTTTACAACCTGTCCATTTCTCGGCGCAAGCGAGAAACAAGCTGGCCAAAAAGGGTTTCCAGAGATGGCGGAACAAGACAAGGGGAGGGGGGGCACGGAAAATCACTTTTTCCGGGCTGGAGGCCAGCTTCTACATGGAGACCACCGATGGTCCTGGCATCGACTCGCTGCTGAAGCGGCTCGCGGGCCTGGACGTTTGCGTGGCCAATGCGGCGGCCTTGACGCTACGGCTGAGAGTACTCGGGTCGAGTCGCGAAGTGGTACTGTGCATGGGTGCGAAATCCATTTCGCACCCCGCCAGGGGAAACCATTCTTGGTTGGTACAGGGCAATCATCATTCTATTGCGTTTCAGAACGGTGGTGCGAAATGGATTTCGCAACCATCCACAGTAAGTTGGAACCGGGACATCGGTTTGATACCCACACATAAGTCCCCCCGTTTGGTGGAATAATCCCTTTTAGTAGTTGGTTGGTTAAATATTTACTAATTTTGCCGAACAGGGTTGTGCTTTCAGTGATGAATTCTTTGCAAATGTGCTGGTTTTAAGTCTGAATTTGGGGTTATGTTGTGGCGCTTGCCGGGATGTCTTCGGATATCTTTTTGGACATGTCTTTGGGAGTGTTTTGCCCGTGAGGGTATGGGGTGGCGCGTTTCTAGGGTTCATGACCTCGATCAGGCTTTTTGTTTCAGTGGAAGCCAAAGCTTGCTGGTGCTCTGTAGGGAATGTGAAAGAAATCAAATGAACGCAGGCTCCCCACAAGTGGAAGATTCATGGGAAACAACTCATTTTCTGATACTGACAACCCAAGAAAAAGACAACAAGCATATTTGAGGTGGAACACGAGCGATTCCAGGATGAAGGTCTCTACTGTTTGGAAGCTATAGCCAGTAGCCCAGATCCCAAAAGGAAACATTTTATTGCAAACAAACCCACTCAGCAATTGAGACAAACACGCTCTCTTCGAGCAGATAGACTTGGGGAAATCCGATTCCAGGTGGTTGCGCAAGTCTTCACTCTTCTTCCGAGTTTGGCTGTTCTTTTTGTGGATTCTTCGCCCCTTACATTTGTTGAGTTTGGTTTTCGGTTGAACCTGCAGAAGGTGGATTTGTTTTGTTTGGGCGCGGAGACGGCTCTTTGATTTTCCTTTTGCCCTTCAACAGAAAAAGTGTCGACCAAATGCTGACCTTCTGTTGATCATCACCATTTTGTTTGACTGCGCTCAAAGTCCCAACAAGGCCCCAATGCAGTTTGACAGGGGAAATCAACCTGAGAGAGGATTGCCAGAACTGGGCTCTCTGGCGTATCGGAGTGGTTTCTTTTTTAACATGAGCCCAACAAGTTTTTCAGTTGGAACCGCTTTGCCAAGAAAGTTTGTCAGTTTCACAGGATCGCAATGGGGTCGAAACCAAGGGGAGACCCCTTTCAAATCCCGTGCTGGGTGTGTTTTTTGTATGCCCCACGGGTTCCCCATCCTTTTCAGCCATCGTTGCTTTTGTGGGGTGTTCAAGCAGTTTTCTGGACATGCGAACTAACAACTACCTCTCGCGATTACGGGCTTTTGGTTCTAGGGGAAACATTGTTCTAGGCGCTACCTCTACCAGCACCTTCCCAGGGTGGCTTTTCCGTTTGCACCTGAAGTGTCCTCTTTTTGTTTAACCATTTTGGGAAATGTTGACCCCATATTAATCCACCAACCTGTTTATTTACAGGGAGGTGTTCCCCTCGACAGGTGGTCTGATTCCCCACTAAACCAGGGGTAACCACTCCCCTATGAATAAACTGGTTGGTTGAGGGTCAACAAATCACAATTCACAGCCCAGCATCTGGCAGAAACCAAAAAACAACAGCAAATCAGAATTCACAGCCCAGCATCTGGCAGAAAAAAACAAGCATCTGGCAAAAAAAACAGGAAAAACAAAACAACAACAACAACAAAACACATCTGGCCAAGAACAGGAAAGCACACAAAACAACAACAAAAAAACATCTGGCCAAAGAGCCAGAGGAGGAAGATAAAACACACAAAAAATCCGGCGCTTCCGAGGAGATCCGCCGGCCTGAAGCCCTTCGCGGACATCGACACCCAAAGAACCAGGCCACTGAGTGGCATCGGGGAACTCCCCATCTCATTTGAGCCGTCGACTGGCCCTATTTCGATTTGGCATGTTTTTTGTAAGGGGCATTTTGAGAAACACAATATGGGTATGGGTCAAAATCAAACCACCAGGAATTGGACCACAGGCTTTCGTCCATGTTTCCTTTTACCGATCGGGCAAGCCATTTTGGGATTACCCGATTTTTGACCGGCCATTTGGTTCCAGCGGAACCAGAACCAGAGCGGCTTGCTTCCATCTTTGCCATGAAGGGGGTCCATTTATATAATGAGGGGGTTCCATAGGGGGGTTCCATGAGGGGGTTCCATACAGGTGTGGTTCCAGCGGAACCAGAACCAGAGCGGCTGAGTGGCTTGCTTCCTCTTCCGATTCCATGAGAGGGTTCCTTAGCCAAGTTGTTGAATAAGGACAATCGTGACTTTCGCATGGCCATTACTATATTTAGTTCATGGCATCCAAGTTTTTAGCCCCTCTGGCTCACATGTATGTTATTTCCCTGTCTTGTGAGGGGGTAAACCCTTGAGGGGTTGCCAAAACGGGTCCATAACTTTTCGTTTGGTGTCCCATCAACACGGAGCAATTTTAAGCTCTTGGATTCTTGCGCCGATCGGATCTTGGGAGTAATCCTGATTTTCTTCGTTTCTTTGTTCACTGTTGAAGCGGCAGCCCTCAATTGGTGTTTTGCATGGGTTTTGGGGTCAAACGACCCCAGCTCCTTTTGACACCACAAGGGGAAGGTACCTTTTAACATCCAAGCCACCAAACCAAACCAAACCAATCAGCGAGAAGTTGCGTCATTCAAAATGACCAAGACTGGTTTGAAGCAGCACCTTTCCCACCCTGGAGCCAACAAAGAACGTATCTGGAAGCAACGCGCGGGGAGCGGGGAGTGGGAGTTTCATGGCACGCCTATAGGGTACCTCTACACACTGGCGATCTTGGCGTATTCTTTTTTTTCCGCGCAAAAAAAAGGAAAAAGAAAAACAAAGCACGGTGGTTTCCTTGTGGTTTCCCGATAGGAAGCCTACCAAGAAGGGGACCCCATGGTACCCCGGGAAAAAAAAAAAAAAAAAAACGTTGCCAACGGCTGGTCCAAAAGTAGATTCCCAAAAGGCAGTCTGCGTGCTCCAGTTGTTGTTAGGTCAGTTGGGAATTAAAGAGCTGGAGCCAGAAACACCTACATAAACTCAAGCTTGTTAACCTGGGGCATGATCCACATTGCGTAACTTTGAATGAGTACGGTGAGTATGGAATTTGGTACATGTCCAAAAGTCATGGTCGAGTTCGGGACACGAGCCGCTGAATTTCAACCCCAATCATGGGCAGTCGCGTTTTCCCTGGATAATTTCCAGCACAGTTGAGGTAGACAACAAGTCACCCACTTCCATTTGCTGAGTTGGTTCGTGCGTGGTGTTTTTCCGCAGTTGGTGCAATCCTGGAGTTGTTCAATCTTGTCCGCGATTTGTTTCAGCGCCGACCCAGGTCTGAGTTTGTTGACCGGCCGGCGGGGGGGGTTGCATAAAACCATCTACGCTCAGCCTGCCAGGCTAAGGTCATGAAGAAGCAAGATTGCAGGATCTAAGTATATGTTGAAAGCGTTTTGTCAACGGACATGAAGGCAGCAGAACCAAACTTGGGCTGAACCAAAACGGACGGAGGCCTTGCAGAAATGGGAAACCCCGACACCTAACCGATTCGGCTCCAGCCCACCCTTTCTGAGGGAAGCTGAATTTGGTGAACCAAAACGGCCGTGTTGCCTTTGAGGGTTGGGGTGCAGCTCACCGAAGGCATAGGCGTCCTTTTTGGTTGTTTTGCTCGAAAAAATAGATGGCGCTTTCTGGTTTACCTGGTGGTTGAATCATCTACCAGGGCCATCTATTTCCCCTAAAAGGACACCTCACTGCACCGCAGGTATGAGCTGGAGGTGCCTTTGCCGGAGAGCTTCGGGCTGCCCATGAGCAGCCAGAAAGTCTTCGTGGACCTGGACTTGGCCACTCACAGTTTGGCTTAGGAGTCTGCAGGAGCAGGGGAAAATAAAAAAGCCAAATAAAAATCATGAACATATTTCCCCTAGACTGACAGATTCCCTTCAAAGCCAACAGGGGAAAATAAAATGACAACATGAACACAATTCCTCTAGACTGACAGATTCCCTTTAAGATTAACAGGGGAAGATAAAATAACAACATGAACGTATTTCCACTAGAGTGACAGATTCCCTGTAAAACTGCCAGGGGAAAATAATATAACAACATGAACATATGTCCACTAGACTGACAGATTCCCTGCAAAACTAACAGGGGGAAAAACAATAATAATTGGAAAAACAAAACATGAGCATATGTCCACTATAGTGACAGATTCCCTTTAAATCCAACAAGGGAAAATAATAACAACAACAATGATGATAATCATAATGATAATAAACATGATAATACAAATACTAATAAACACAATAATTCTCAAGCAAATGGAAGCTACGAATCTGTCAGTCCGGGGGAAATATGTTCATGTTGTTTGTGTGTGGGTTGTTCTCTGTTGGTTTTATATAAAGGGAATCTGTCAGTCTAGAGGAAATAAGTTCATGTGTTTTCTTCTTCTTTTTTTCCCCTGTTGATTTTCAAGGGAATCTGTCACTATAGTGGAAAGATGTTATTTTTTTCCAGGGGACGTAAGCAAATGGAAGGGTTGGTGTCTCTTTTGGGGATTCAGACCGCTTTCGGAGGGAACATGCCCCCTAACAGGACCTAATCCGGGGTCAACATTACACCAAAGTATCGACCGATAGATAAACCCACGGTTGATTGTCTGTGGGGTGACCCTTGGTTCCCCCTATTAGTAGCAAGAGTTTGTTTGTCCGAGGTCAACACTACTTGGAAACTATGATGTTCTTTGTGCCCAACAGAATCTGAAGATAGTGTGTGTTCGATGTAGACCACTCAAGTAATTGAAAAACTGGTGGATCCAATCATTATTGCAGGTTTCGGAATTAGCAAGATTGCAGACAGTAGAGGCATCCCCCACAAGACCAAAGATTGAACCGTGAACTCAAAGGGTTCAATGGAATGCGCAGTAATTAACACAATTTGCTTGTTACTTTGGGTTCTCATGCGCTCGTTTGCGAATCACATGTTTTCCTGGCCGTGGAATGACATGGGTGCTGTTTGATTGAGTTTCGACCCTCCCAAGCACTGCCCTGATCTCACACGCCTGCATCCTTTGATAGTTAGCTAGCCATTTGGTTTCAACAGTAACTGGGGTTCAAATCCCAAACCAGGCCAAACCACCAATTAAGACGAAGCTGATCTTTGGTTGTGGGCACTTGATTGGATTTTGGTCGCGACTTAGACCCATTTGACTAACATCCTTTCTCTTTACACGAGCGAACGGGTGTCCTTTGCTATAGCTTCAAGCAGGAAGAAGTGTTGGCTTCCATCTGGTGGTTTAAACACAACCTGGGCCAAGCAAAAAGGTGAGTTTCCCCTGTTTGTTTGTTGGTATTTGATTGGGGGGCCGATTCCTATTTTGAGAGACCCAGGTCACGTTCCTGGAGTTCAAGGACCGGTGCTTTGCCCTGCCCCAAAGGGGCCACTCTATTTGGCTTTGACTTTTCCAAGGGGACCCCTTTTTGGTTGGTTTCAAAAGGAAACTAAAGGGGAACCACCAACTTGGAGGGTCCCTATTTTGAGACCCCATTTTGGGGAGTGTTTTCCTATGGTTGGGTTTCCTTCATTTTTGCAAGGAGAAGGACAGCTCTATTTTTCTTGTGGGGTCCCGATTTTGATTTTCAGACAAACCCCGGCTGGTGCCTGATTGAAATGTGAGCCCTGGTCACAAACTCAGGCTTGGCGGAGCAAGTGGTCTGGGCTCAAAGGCCCATAGCCCATAGCCTTAGTTTTCCCAAAGGGGGACCACGAGGGGCAGACCTCCTCTTAAACGCAACAGTTTTGTCCGGGGCTCATTTATTTCACCAATTTCCAAAGGGTCCTAGTACCTTCTAAAGCGGTATTTGAACCCCTTTTATCTCAGGCAACCCTTATTTGGTGGTTTGGATTGGTGGCTTGGATTTGGATTACCCTGGCATTTGCGGCGTTTTGTTTGGGGAAACCACGGCCTACCCTCCAAACCAATCCAGGTTAGAGGTCACCAACAGCCAGGTTAGACCCGTTTTCCTGGACAAGAACGGTACTTAGACCCTTTGGGCTTGAAATTTCTCTTCTCCCGAAAAACCACCGTTTTCTCAAGGGGCCCGTGGGTTAGATTTGTTCAGGTTCATCAAAGCTAGGCCAGAACCACGAATTGCTGCCGTCCAGGGGGGAAACAGTGTCAGGCGTTCACTTGGGCCACTAATGACCCATTAAGTGATATGACGCACCCCTCATATACCTTGACCCACTAAACTGCATGTTTAACCCTTCACTTATGCTATAATATGTCACAACCTCTGCGTCGCTGGAAATACTGAAGAGCTGCTCCGTGTTAAACATGTAGCCGCAGATTCGGGCGTATGTGGAGCTCTGTGTGTGTGCGTGTGAGCGGCCCTTTTGCGGCTTGCTGCCTTTTTAAGGGGGATGCCAAAGATTGCCCCGAATTGGACCCCGCACTTTTCCGGATTAACATGGAGCAAAACACCCACAACCCCACCCGCCTCCAACCATGAAAAAGCACTCGGCGCCGGGGTTTGCAGGGTTTGAAGGCGGTCCAACATGTTTCCAAACTGGGCTGTTCAAAACGAAGGGCTGGCCTCCTTTAAGGGCACCCCTTACGTAGCTCAAGGAAGGATTGCCGTTGAACAGCCCAGTGCGTGTTCTTTTTTGGGTCTGGAAATGTTGCCCAGAATGGATGTCCTTGTCCCAAAAGGAGATTCTGTTCCTACCAATGGGGTGCGTTTGTTTTGGCTGGTTCCTTCCATGTTGACTTGCCACAAGTTTCTCACCCAACTCAGATAGAGGGTCCAAGTACCTGAGGATGGCTTACTGAGGGGTAACAAAAAGGTCCTTTCATATTGTTGCAGGAGAAACATCTCACAGATAGAGGGTCCAAGTACCTCCAGATGGCCTTTTTTCTTTGGTGGGGGGAGGGTTTATAGGTGCCTCCTTCCAAACCCAGTGTTCTAGGGGTACCTTCCCCATTCTTTCCAGGCATCCTTGTTTCTAAAAAGAACCTCCAAAACCCTGGAAAACAGCCGGTTTTTGAAAAGAACCATGGTTGAGCAGAATGAATCAACTTCTAGAAGTGTCCAAGTACCTGAGCATGGCGTATTTGGGGGCGGGGGGGGAAAGGGTGCAGGACGCGCCTTACGAGCTCGGGGAGGTGGAGCTCTGCCGCTGCGACCACCTCAGCTCCGCGCAGAAGGTCCAGGCCTTGCAAGCGGCCATGGCAGCGCTGGGCCGCTCGGACTGAGTCGAGGGGAATCGGTCGTCGGTGTCGGGTGGGATGGATCGGTTGGGAAGGAGCTCGGGGAAGCCAAGTGCTAAGAAACAAAGTAACCTAAAGCGGACTTAGGATACATCTTACATTTTGCCAGTGGCTCAAAGTGAAGCAAACAATAAAAATATACATTCTATTGCTGGGCCTAAGTCTAGTCATGTAACAAAGTAGGGGCCAAGTAGCCAATTGCAAGTAACTAATTACCTTCCCAGCTTGTTTACATGGAACCTGACGTTGGGGACCCGTTCGTCCCCAACGAAAGGAAAAGGGTCCGAACCAGCACCCCCCGAAATTGGTGGGGGGGTAAGGTCAACCTGAGATCAATCCGGGGCACCCTATAGACGAACCCCTTTAACTAGCTCATGTCCTGAAAAGGGCGCCACCCCTGAGTAGGGCATCCTGCCGCAGATCGTTTCGGGCACCAGGTGGATGGTTGGCCGACATGAATGTGCATGTAAGCGATGTCCACGTCCCCATTGGAAATCCAGGCTGGCAGCTTTTTGGGTTGTGTTCAGGGAAACCCTTTGTGTACCCAGACGCTCCAGATGAATTTAGGGCCCTCAAACAGCCAGTTTTGAGACCCCCAAACATCTCCGGGTGTGTCATGGAGGGTCTGGGTCTTCCATTGAAAGCCCCAGGAGCCTCTGGGTAAGGAAAACAACAACCCAAAGTTTCAGAAAAAAAACCAAATGCGAGTCTTGGGGCCGCCTTCTTCGCACACCCCGCTTTGTGTCCAGGCATCGCGGGGTCCACGCCGGTGCACAGCAAGGCGGGCGCCAGCGGGAACAAGATCTGCCGGGCAGCCATAGGGCGTTGGAACTGACGGAAGCGTCACCCCCAGTTTTTTGTGAAGGCATGGCTGTCCGGCATCACGGAAGTGGTTGAAGTTCCCACAATCCTGTTTCAGTATCCTACTCGGTTGTTCAGTGGCACCAATGATGTTTCCAACTCTCTTTTTTTGGCTGCCCCACCAAACATGGCCTTTCAGCCCCAAAAAGGGTTCCCTTTTTTTTCCAGGGCCTTGTTGAACAACTGAGCCTAGTTGATACTTCTTGAGCCCTCGAAGGTTGAGCTTTTGTTTGGTCGCTCCAACACATTCTCCTTGCCGGCCAACGGGTGAAGGCAAGGAGCCGGCAAGGGGAAATGAAACCACGTTGAAACACGTTAAACCGGAACCGAAATCAACCCTGGTAAGTGGAAACGTGGACCAAAACCTGCGTAACCCCTCCTGCTTCATTTTGAGCCACAGCCAGTTCCATTTTTGGCCAAACTCAACTGCCCACTTGCCCTTTGGGCTTCCTTCAGTTTTTGCGTTCCCTGCAAGTTACATGGGAAGTCCAGGCTTGCAGAAGCCTCTTTTTTTTGGCGACTTTGGAGACCGCTCTGGCTTATGAGCAAACGGAACAGTCGCCCGTTCTTGGAAGTCCATTTGCGGCTTGCCATGTTTTGGAGCGGTTCTCAAGCGAGACCAAAGGAACACCCACCCTTCTGTCCTCGAAAAAGCGGCACGCCCATCAGTCCATTGATGAACACCCGACTCGCTCGTGTTTCGGGGTTGGCCTTCATGTTTGGAGTCTAGGTGAAGATTGCGGAAACCTCCAACACTGTCCTTTTGCCGCATTTGTTGGAGGGGGTTTCTCGTAAAATAAAGCAACAAAGCGCTTTTGGCCTGGCTCCGGGATCACGGTGGGTGGGGGGGGGGGGGCACTAGTGTGTCGTCAGCAGGGAACCAACCCTCGATTCCTTTGAAGGAACACCGGTTGCTTAAACCAAACAGTGGTTTAACATGTGAAGTCCTCAAACTCCAAAACGGCTGCCGCGTGCTGCGCTCAATTGGATTAGCGCCATTTGTATTTGACCCCCCGGCTGGTGCGGTTAAGAGTCCGAACCAAGGGGCCCCGAAAATACCTGGGGGCCTACTCTTTTGTTGACCCTTGCTTACTAACCGTGAAGCCGCCCCACTCCGGTCAGTAGTCAGGTCCCGCGTGAAAGGAATCCTCACAGTCGCCCACAAAGTCAAAACACGACTCTGACGCTGCTAGCCACAGCCATGACATGCAGGTGGTGGAATTCCTCCGGCGCCATTCGCCGGAGCACCACCGCGCCCTTGCGGATGCTGGCGTGGTGGATGTGAGTGAGACACATGAGAAGTTTTGTGACCTCACTCGCCCATAATGACTCACTTCCTGAGTTGGTGGACTTTAAGCTTTTTGGAAAGACCATTTTAGTGGTAAATAAAATGTTCAAACTTTTTTTGCCCAGTCAACTTGGGAAGTGAGATGAAGACTCGGTGGCTTTCATTTTTAGAGCTCGGCCAGGCTGAAAGCGCGGCTGCGCGGTCCATTCGCACGGCTTGCGCGGCGCATGCTGTGCCGTTCCTGTTGCATACCGTTTCAATCGTTGGAAGTCGTCCTGGCGGTGTGTATACTCTAACAGACTTGTCGCAAGACCTAGCTGTTTGACTCACTTACCTCCCAGTTTTGCGCGCTTCTGTTTGGGGCTTTGTTTAATGCTGACTACAAACCAGCACTGTTCAACTGCTGAATTTCTGGAATTCCAACTAGATCCACTATGTGGCATGGCAACCCAGAGGTGAAGGGTGCTCTAGCAAAACACGAGCTATTGACGAAATTCCCATTCCCTTAGACAATTTACAGCGCCTTGTTTTCGCTTTTGTAGTTGGAAGCAACATGGTTCGACATGGGGACCACTTGAAACGAGCTTGAGAGGTCGAAAGAGCCATCCCAGAGGCGCTCGAAATGCCTAATAGTGGTGGCCATCTTAACCTGAGGTTGCGGCTGCGAATCTTAGCAGGGGACACCCCCAAAGAAGTTTGTCCCAGGTAGACGTTCAGAACGTACTTGTAGATAGAGGACAGTCCTCGCCATAATTTGCACGGCCGCCTTTGCATTTCCTTACGTGGATTTGGGTATATAATTATATAGACCGTTTCGATACCAGGTTTTGTTTGTGGCTATGAAGCCACACTGTGCATGGACGAAGATGCACCAGTCAGTAGGTGTTTTTCCCCAATTGAAGTCCATATCCATGTTCCCCAGGCTATCTAAGAGAGACCCGGACGGCGCCACGGAAATTGGGCCCTTGGATCGCCCGGACGGGAGGAATGCTCAAAAGTTTCCTCACGGTCCAGATGGAGAGCTGACAAAAAGGCGTGCCCTACAAAGGGGGCCAATTAATTTTAAGCAATTCTTACCCCCAACCCCATTCCAATCATTTTGCCCCTAGCGAGTCCAGTTCTGCAGATGGGCGGTAACACGTGGGGAGGAGGTGAACACTTGCCGGTTCGCAATCGCTGTTCAGGGATTTGGGGTATATGGGTTCGTCTTTAATTTGGGGACCCGCATAATGGTATCAGGTAGCCCTAGTTGGCGGTTTGCACTGGTGGTTTGGAGATTTGAGCCCTGGCCTTTGTGGAGGGTAAATGGGAACTCGCCCCGGAGCCGCCAATTAGAGCGGAGCTGAATGGGGATAGATGGCCAGAGTGCCCCTACCGCCAATGCCGATTGCGGATTCGGTAAAAGGAGGACCATGACTTCGCCTGGGGGAATCCTTTCTTTTGAGGTTACTTTGAACACATCCTGTTGGTATCAGCGATCTATCCCAACTTCATTTCATGGCCCATCCTGGTAGCCCGGCAAAAAGCGAGCCGCGGCTTTGGAGGTGAAACGAGCTCGCACAACAACGAGCAAACAAGCTTCACGGGCGGATTCCGTGCACGAGCCAGGTAAGTGGAGAATATCATTTAACCAGAATCATAGCGTCTAAAACCCCTTTGTGGTTTGTGCGACCGCGCCCATGAACCCGCAAAGCACCGCCGTTTTTTCTCTCTGGCTTGAGAGCGATCAATAGCGATCACCTCAAGCTTCCTCACTTGGAGCGGGGTCGAGAAACAAGGAGAAGCTTCACAGGACTCGCCGGTTCTTTGCTGCGAGTTCTTTTTAAATCCGTATGGTGAATTTTGATATGGGGAGAAAGAGGGCAAGGCCATCCGAAATGGTTCACAAGCGAGTCCCAGCCGAGTTACCCGCTGGAATTCCTGCATGACTGCCCACACCGCCAGCCGGCAAATTCAAGGTGGGGGTCCGTTCGGCCAACCCAGGGGTTAGCGCCATCGCAACCTCAACCTCCCATGACGAATCAGGAGCCTGAAATGGAGTGAGGACCCCCACTTCCCCCACTGCAATAGTCTCCTTCTGCGCTACCCCTTCCAAAACCACTCCCAGCCATCCCTTTATTGTTTGTTGCTTCTTGGGGTTTGTGGGGATTTCCATTTAACCCACCAACAGTTTAAACAAAAAAACTTTTAGCAGGAAACCTGAGGCCAGCCCTTTTCTCATAAAATCAAAGCGGCAAAATTCACGCGACTTCCGCGGCTGTCGCAATGCTTTTCGCCCTGCTGCGGCCCCATGTGGCGGAAGCCGTCAATGCCCGGGGCCCCGGGGGTGCGAGTGTGGACTGCAATGATAGCAACTGGGGTGCGTGTTGTATCAGAAACTGCACCCCCAAATTGATTCCACTGGTTTATCTTCAGTCATTGCAACTTGGCTAAATGCGTTTTGTTTTTCCTAGATCGGGGGATTGTGGCAACACAAAGACCCCTTTAACGGGAACCGTGACCATGGCTGAAACTGGGAACACTGCAAGACTGGCAACCCTCTAAGCCCAAAAATCAGAAGGTGGCAAGATAGGCCCTAAGTGTCCACCACAGCCTCCAACTCCAAGCTTCTAATCTATTGTTGGGCAGCTGGCAAGGCTATGTTTAGCTCAAAAGGTCGGGAAAACTTGTATTTCATTTTCTGAGTTCATGGACTTTAGTCACTTTTTGGGTTTGGACCATGCGGTTCACTGGTTCACACAAATGCTATATAGACGTTTTTTGGGCCAATCCACTCAGGAACTGAACATTTTGGGCCCACCTACCCAGCCAGCCAGCCAGCCAGCCAGCCAGCCAGCCAGCCAGCCAGCCAGTGGGGGAACGAGTTTCCTGAATTCGAGGTGGTCGCTCGCTTCGACCTAGTGCTGGTCTTAGTGGCTGCAGCGGCGGTGCAGTCCATCCACAGCTATGGACGCGGCTCGGATCGATCCGAATGCGTCGACTGGATCGAATCGAATCGAATGCGTCGTTGAGACCTGTGGGATCCCTTGTTTGCGGTTTCGGTAGCCTTGAAATCCCATAGGTTTCGGATGGAGTTATTGCATGCTGTTGTGGAATTTGCAAATCCCACTGCCAGACCTAGCTAAGGTCGTTCGGATTGAAAGTAACGTTGTCATATATGGATTTGTTAGTATCACAGAAAGGCGTTTTGCCTCCAACCCTGCACACTTTCATGAACTGATGGTACCATTTTGGGGTAGGTGCACCACCCATCTTAGTCTATTTTAGTGGGAATTGGGATGTTCACTGGGGGTACGGGATTTTGACCCATGGCCAACTGACCTCCCCGGCAGCGCTTTTGGCCAGGAACCTTTGCTTGCGTTTTGGGTGTCGGCGACTGCAGGCATCACGCTGCCCATTCCCGCAGAGGCAGAAGAGCGTCTTGAGCAGCAAGTGGTGCGCCATGTCTTTCCAGTTGCCACTCTTCTGCCAGGGCCTTTCTGGCAACAAGGGTGGACTTATGTGAGGGTACTTTATTGCAGAGGTGCGGGAGTATGCCAATCCACTCAGGAAGTGAATTTAATGAAGCTGATCGAATTCGCATATCTGAGGCGAGTGGAAAATGAAGTGTGAGGCCCAAAACGGGCCTTTGCACATGTTCAATAGTGCATATCCTTCTTGAAAGAAAAAACTAGAAGGAGTTTACCTAGGAACCAGGAAAGGCCTTTGAACACGTAGCATGCTCCGTTGCTGCCTGAATGGACCGTGAGCAGATTGTTGTTTGTGTGCGGGAGTGAACCAGCGAGCAGTCAGAAGTTGCAGCAACCCAAGCTGGTTTTTCCTTTTTGATCTTAGAGTCGAAGAGCAGTCCTTGCTAGATTATCATATCTCAATCCCTGAGTTGTTGGACTTTAAGCTTTGTAGGAAGACAATTTCAGTAGTAAACTAAAAGTTCAGACTTGCCTGGCCAATCTGAGGAAGTCAATATTCAGGGTTGCCTTTGCCTTTTTTTGGTTGTTCCTCTTGTTCCCTTAACAGCAAAAAGCGGCGACTTTTTGCTGGGCGTAGGATCAGAATGCATTGTCTGGGAGACAAAAACCCAGACATCAAGTGATGCTGTCTTCTGTCGGGAGTGGGTTTTGCCTGTGAACCAACAAGAGGGTGCTGCTTGCTTCTAATTACTGTGGAAAAGGTCCTTCCGTGTCAAAGTAAGGATATCCCGACAGTTGTGATTTCCTTTTGACTGCACTTTTCACGCCCGAAAGTAGGTACAGGCACACCTTTGTTGCATGCTTGGATGTTAGGACTTTAACTAACTTTTTGCCAACTAGTGGGGTTTCCCATTAAACCATTACAAAAGTTAAACTTTCAGCAGAGCAGAAAGCAACCAAGATACGTTAAAGAGAAACAGCCTTGTGGATCCTTGGTCCTTGTCATGCCCTCCGAGGATGGTCGACAGGGGCTTCTACCCTGAGACCACGTCAGACTGGATCAAGGCACGAAGGGCCAACGGTTTTCTTTCTGCGCATTTCTGCATGCTCCATATCACACATAATTCTTGACTTTCGGCGGTAAAAGGACACCAAAGGGAATGAATGTTCTTTTTGTAGAGCCCCTGTTCAGCATGATTTAGTTTTCGGGAAGCTTGCTTACCTGTTAGGCCTCTCGCAAGGTTGCTTCTTCTTGCTCCCGAAGATGTCAAATCTCCAAGACCCAATCATTTTGAGTGTCCGCCGTTTTTGTCACTTTTCCAATGGGTCGCCCAATTCAACGGCCCCAATTTGGGTGTGTCCTTTTTTAGGAATCCTACCCGCCACATGATGGGTCTTCCTTTTATATTGATCCCTACCAAACCAGGGGCACCCTCAAACAAAAGCACACCCACGGATCCCGCGTGGGAAACGCCTCGCGTGAAACCAAACCCCAGGCTCGACCAAAAGTTTTTGGTCTCCAGGTCTTCGTGTTGGGCGTCGCGGTGCGGATCCGGGAGATGGACGCCGCTGGCCCAGTTCAGCACACCGCAAGCAGAGCCCATGCCTCGTCTGGAGTTTCTGGCGGGTTGTGGGAAAGACCGTTTAAATGCCAACCTTTAAGGATGAATCAACCCCTACTATGGCATATAGTTTAATATGGGAGTGTCCCTAGCTTATGAGCGCAAGCCATTTTGAGATGTGAGACAAAGCTGAAAACTGCTCGGAACCCCAAAGAAATCAGCTGTCAGGGAAACATATGAGCGAATAAGGGCCTTACAAGGGTCTACATGAATAAAACATGGACATGTTCGTGCGAATTTTATTGGTTCGTGGTCTTCAAGAAACAGCAAGCAGCCCAGACTTGTGCCGATAATCCCAGCTGGTATCCCCACCAGTTCCGAACCCCTGGAACCCCTGGAACCCTGTCCAGCAAAGTGACTTTGGTCAGAACCCATGAGCTGGGGAAACAAATTACACCCAAGGTGACACTGCTGCTCTGGGAAAGCTGTTCCGTTTTAAAAAGGTACGCACACATCGAGCTCAGACTTGCTCTCACTTCCTGAGTTCACAGATGTACCTTTTGGGGAAAACCAGTTTAGTCGTAAACAAAAGGTTTGGTCACTTTACTGGGCCATCCTCTCAGGAAGTGAGTGTTTGGTGTTATTTGGCCTTACTCAACGCGATGGGGTGACGTTGCCCAGTGATTGAATTTACTTGGTTTTGTCGGTAACCAAGGGCTTGCCAGCCTTTAAACACCAAAAGGACAATGGCGGAGGGTTACCTACTGTAGGGGTTCGCTTGGTGGTGCTCGGTAGGGAATGAGGGGATTGAGGGGACATCCAGGATGCCCCCTTAAAAAAAGAAAAGAGAACAAAAGCTGGATGGTTTTCATGAGGATCATTCCTATTCTCATTCCCCAATGCCTACTGTAGTACCTGGGATCCAGTTGGGTGGGCATCCTGTAACATTTCATTTGTTTTGCTTGGTGCTCGGTAGGGAATGAGGGGAATGAATCCACAAGTCCCCCAGTTGGATGGTTTATAAGGCGAGTTTCCCTGGGATCCGCCGGGTCAGTTGAGCGATCCACGTGCAATCAAAACCGATTCGGGTAAGTGATCCGGTTCGTAAGATTTGGACGATCCCCTTGCCATACATCGGATATCCGCCTTCTTGGTTCTTTACATGGTTCTGGGATTACGACCAGTGTTGTGCCGAATCGGTTTTGGTTGCAAGTGACTCGTTGTTGGCTTTGCCGATGGGTTTCTTTTATTTCGGGTGAAGGAGAGGCTGCGCGCCAGCCTCGCGGCGCCCGGCGCCGTGAGCATCGCGGAGATCCGGCGAGACTTTGCCCGGGACCCGAGCCGACGGGCAGCGGCGGGTTTTTGAGTCTTGCCGAGTCTTGCTGCCTCGGATTCTCAGGGAGTTTGGTAATGTTGACCCCGTACTAATCAACCCCAGTTTGTTAATGCGGGGAGTTCCCCTCCAAAAGTGATGATTCCCCACTCAACCCAGGGACACCCCCCAATTGATAAACTGAGGTTGATTAGTATGGGGTCAAACATTATGGGTCAAACTTCACCAGCCGAACCAAGAGGGGTGGGAAATTCCAAAAATGTGTGTTCAATCTTCAATCACGGTTCTTTGCAGGTTGGGTCAAAATCTACCAGACCGCAGGTGTTAGTCCTTGGTTCCATTTGGCAGTTCCCTGAAAGAAAGGTGAAGCTGTTCCTATCTTCTGGCGCCCTCAACAGGGAAATCCTCAGAAACGGGGCTGGGCCAGCCGGTTTAAACATCCTCCAACCACCATTGACGGCCTCCAGTTGGACTCCCGCCAAAGGAATTGGACCCTTTTGGGGTTGGCTGTTCACACGTATTTTGTCCAACTTAGCCCCAAAGACCGCATTCATTGCCTGGTTGTTTCATAGCGCCCTACCCAAAACACGCGTAAATCAAAACAGGCAGCCGCACCTACGGTAGTTTGTGTTGGAACTTTCCGCTACCTTTGATGTCCCTAATTTTCGATCATATTGCAGATTCTGAACAGGGATCACGGAATGAATCATCCCTTGCAGTATTCCAAGGTACTCAGCGCAGTTCTCAACGTGTAATAAATCCTGGAAAATCAGAAGGATGGCTTCCCTTTAAGGGGGGAATCAAATTATGTTAGGCGGACCCGGCCGGATAAATAAAGTTAATTGCATCATTTCAGCAATTACAGCTTTGAGGGTTCCAAAGCCACAACAAAGCATACTCAATGTGTCAAGGGGTCCTTTTACAGGTTCTACGACCTTGTGGCCGGGGAACGTTTCGGGCTTCCTTTGGAGGTGGGTATGGATGTCATCCTTACAGAACCCACATACCTTGTTCCAGTGGAACATCCCGGGACAAGCCCCTGTCAGCCTCCCATGATTGTTGGAGGGAGGGTAACCCACGCAAATCTTGGTACTCTCAGCTTGAAGGGAGTTGGTAGGGGGTATGTAGTCACCCTTGAATCATTGAAGTGCACATTTGTAGCACTACAATGAAAACATCATGGACGTCCGTCCCTTTCTCCAAAAAATCCAGGGAACTAGGGGCATATCCTGCCTTACACACGCATGGTGGTTTGCAAGCCTTATTTCCCAAAATTCCGCTTGAACATGGCCTTGAGATCGTGTGCGGGCCTCTCCCCAAGTGTTGGGTGAGCATTTCTCCTGGAATTGGGGGGGGGTCTTGAAAACGAGAGTGCTCCAGCGTTCGGTTGTTTTAAGTTCCATATCAGGCTGGGGTGTACCTGGCGGCAGCTGCACCCCGACTTGCGTGGGTCAATCTCGAAGCTCCACGCAAACGAAGGCACAGACCTGGACAGGCCTCCAGACCTCCAGACCTCCAGAAGGAAAGCCCCTTTTCCTTTCGCTTTCCTTTGAAGTCACCGAGCAAAGGCCTTTTGTTTTTGAATAAGCATGGAACCAACCAAAACAATACGGCGGAATCTCTTTTGGGGGACGACCTTTTCGCAATCCATTTGATGTTTTGAGGGACTGAACTTCGTTTCACTCCGCTTGGTTGATAAATAACAAGGCACCCTACCCATGAGGGACCCTCAAATAGGGTGATTTCAGATTTCAGCGATTTCCCTTTGGTTTGCCTTGATGCCAGCCCCAAAGAGGATTCCCCCTCCCCCCCCAAAAAAAAAGAAAAACATGCCCCTCCCCCCCCCCCCCCCCCCCCCCCCACAAAAAAAAAAAAAAACAGAACAGAAACAAACAAGCTTCCGGTTGACAAATTTCGGCTGCGTCCTCAGGCGAGTGTGGCCATGGCCTTGCTGGCAGTGGTGGGCCTTCTGCTGCTCAGACCAAGCATTCCAGAGGGAGAGAGAGCAACAAAAAAGCGGGGCAAGATCAGTGCTTAAACAACCAGGTGGCTGCAAAAATTCAACGGTAAACCGGACCCGAAAGGATGAAAACACGGCCTGACAGGGTAATTATCATGCCCCAAGAGCGTGATACCCCGACCGTTAGGCCTCCGTTTACCCCTTGTTTCTTTGCCTTAACAGCGCTTATGGCCTCCGCTTTTTTGGGCAGGTTCTGGAGCTGATGGAAGGGGTGTCCTCTCTCCCTTGAAACTCACGTCCTTCCACCATAGCACTTGTTATTTGGGGGTAGCTTTAAGGTTTTGAAACCAAAGGGAGGACAGAAGTTCGCAAGGAATCAGGGCTTTTGGGGCTTCAAGGTTTTGAACATTTTGAAACCAAAAGCAGCGGCGAATTCGAAAGGAATCAGGGCGTTTTCGGGGGACGTGACCCGAGGTTTCTGATGCTCATCCCCCTGCTGGGGATCACCTGGTGGCTCTTGGAGCGCCCAGGCCTGCGCCCTCACCTCAACGAGGCGGGCGGGCTCGGGAGAGAATCACCTGCCTTGGCTCGGGGGTTGCCCTGGGGTTCAGGGGTGGGAAAGAGGGGGAGAGGGGAGGGGGGGGAGGAGCTGATTTGGGATCCTTACTTGGATTTTGACTCTTTGACCAAGTGAGACGGAAAGTTCAGAGTGTGAACCGGCAATTTCCACATCCATGAAAGTGAGGATTTGTTGTTGGACATGAGCTTTAATTGTTAAGGTTCACTGAATATGGACTGGAACCCAACATGTGTTACTTGCTTCGGTGGGAATTTCAGAAGCTGAGGTAGGTTTGCTGGTTTCATGCATGTGGTTAGCGTTGGGGTTCTGATGCAAAGGGCGTCAGAGAAGTTTGTATTTTCGAGGGATTTGGAAGCGAGACTGGTGGTGGTTCGCTTGTTTAGTGCTGAGCGTTTTGTCTGATGAAAACCCCTGAACCTAGTAACCTGCGACGGAAACAAGCGGCAGAACTGGACCCCTTTTTGTTTGTGCCATTTCAAGATTGGTTGCTTTACTCAGGGATGGCCAGGAACAATGACCATGCCCACAAATTCGGAGATGTGACCATGGCACATCTTCGCCAAACCTAAGACTCGCATTACTTGCATTCAAGGATGCGTCTCCCATCACCCCTGTGATGGGAGAATTTAGTGAGTAACCCCTCTTTTCCTGTTTCAATTTGGTGAGAGCCCTATCCCCTTTACCGAACACGACAGTATTGACCGTTGCTCGTGTGGGTGAACTGCTTGTTTTTTTTGTTTCCGAAGGTAGATGTAATTATAATTGGGTTCAAAGGGACGGCAGCCATTTGGGGAGGCTTCCCCTTTGGAGATAAACCCAAGTTTGTTGTTTTAACCACCAAGCACCAACAGGTTATTTTATTGGCACGGGGTGGGGAAAATATTGGCATAGGTTCGGTACAGGAAGGATATGTGTAAGGGCGTGTGTTGTTTGGGAGTATTCTTGCGGGGCAAAGTTCGAAAGGAAACCAGCACAGAACACCTTGGTTGGGTCCCCCTGTCTTGACCCACACCCATTCACCACGTCTAGGGGTGGAAACCCTTCATGAGCCTTCACGGCGGGCTCTCAATTTTTCGCTGCCCTCTGACGGGTTGGGCTTTGCACGCCCAAAAGGGTGGGTGGTGCCCTTCCTAAAACAGGGGGTTCCCCAACTCTCACTTCTTGAGTTCATGGACTTTAGTCTCTTGTTGGTTTCGACGATTGCTAAGATTTAGGGGAAATGTAGAGAAATCCTTAGAGAAAGTCTTCAATTGGATGGTCAGGGTCACTACAACTCATTACAGAACTCATTCCAACTCGATCCTTCCAACTCACGGGAGGAGACATGGGGAACCCTCCCACTGGGCAACTAAAGAAAGCTCCCCTTTGGCCGAAGCAGGGTCTATGAACTTACCTAACTTACCTCTGAATATAAGGACCGTAAGAAGCCCAACCAATCCACGTGTTCAAATCCTAAGTGCAATGATCCTATACGGAAGTAATACCCTAGTTGAGGCGTGGACCAAGTTATTTTTCGGTCGTTGGTTTCGGAAACTTGGTCAACAACACCACCAATCCAAACACCCAATTAGGTTTGCCTGATTACACAATATTTGCACCTTCCAAGGGTGGTCGATGTGTACCTGACAAGTTTTTGTATGGGCCATTTGGGTAATTACCACAGGGAAGGTCCTGCCAGGCGCCGGCTCAGCTCGAAGTCCAAACATGGAATGATTTTGTTTTGTTTAGACTTGGTTTTACCTTTTAGGTTTTCCTTTGAAGCCACCCAAAAAGAGGTCACACAAACTTCCGTTTGCTGAAATTGTTTGTTTCTATCTATATATATATATGTGTAGACTTTCCCTGTTGGTTATGAAGATCATCGATTTCCACGATTGGATATGATTGGATATCTATCTTGTCTCACGTTTTCCCCGGACACGAAGACGCTCCACGGGCGGCTTAAGCAAAGTGAGGGGCCCCTCGACGTCTCTCCAGGTGCTGGAGGGCTGGAGTGCCCTGCAATGGCTGGAGCGCCCGCTGCGGCCCTTGCTGCGCTTTGGGCCCGGAGCCCCAGGGACAAGCCTCGGGGCCGAAACAAAAGAGAATCAAACGGTAGTGATAGATTCCCTTTAAAAAACAACGAGGGAAATAGACACATATTCTTAAGCAAATGGAAGTTTTTGCACCAAGGCCCACTAGGCGACTAGGTTTATCTGCGAGAGATGTGCGAGGGGATCGATGGGGTTCCCAGTGGCCAGTGCAGCTCCAAGAGACAAAACAAATGGTGTGGCCAGGAAACGGCCACTGGCTTCAATAAGTTGGGTGCAGTTTTTGTGGTTTTCCAGCCATGTGCGGGTTTGTTGGGGGGATTTCAAGTTTGGCAAGGCAAGGTGAACATGTGTCTTAAAGAATTGGTGTCACTTCCAACCAGCTGGATTTGAGACATGTTTGGGGCTTGGCCATCCTAATCATGAATCAGTGGGTATTAAGCAACAAAGCGAAAGGGATGGTGGATGTCGGCCATTCCCAGGATCAACGCAAAGATTGGGCTGGGCATCTCAGCTCAGTATGTCGGCATCTACCATCCTACTGCCGTAACTTAGGTCATTTCTTCCTGAAAGGTTACCCCTTGAGTTTTTTGCACGTTCCTTAATGTTTGGGCGGACAATGGTTGGTGGCGAGAAACAAGTGTGGACCTAAAGCTACCATTGCAAGGGTCAGAGTCCGCTGTTTTATGGGCACCCAATTTAGACTTGTCGCCCATCTCATTTGAACAGACGGCCGGATCTTCGGAGCAACCCCAGTGGTTGATCAGCAGGCGACCAAACATGAAACATGCAGAGCATGTAAAGCACATGCACCTTTGCATGCATATATATATATACATATATATATACATATAGATATATAAATATATATGATGTGTGTTATCATGCATTATTCAACTGGACCCTGCGCAAAGGGCTCAACCAGAGATGCATGAGTCAAGATGACTGGCAAAGGATGCGATTTGGCCCTCCAAGGGGGAAATCTTAATTCACATTGGCCCGGATTGCTTGGGGTGGTGCTATGGATTCCCTCTTAGTGAAACGGACCTCCTAGGCAACAGGGGCTTTGCTCATGGTTTCCCAGTGTACCCACTGAAAAGGGCAGACATGTGCTGCGTTTTTTCCAGGGCCATGAACTCTGGCAGAGGAGTTCGCTCCGGTTAACTTCTTGAACAACCTTGTAGCCAGGGTTACTTCTGGGGCTTTGTTTTTTTGAGGATGCCCTTTTCGGGGTTGGTATTGAAAGGGAAACCAAAGAGGGTGTTCGCCCATTTTGTGGTTGGTCGCCCTGTGACACATACCTTTTTGGCTTAATTCCAAGAGGAGCCCTGAGCATTTGGAGAGTGCCAGGATCGCCGTCTCCAAAGCTGTAGGCCTAGGACGACCCGATTCTTCAGAAAGCGCGGGTTGGACGGACCTACCCACGGTAGTTACCCTTCGCCCTTCAAGGGATGTGGTGCTTCCAACCATAGCCATCTAGATCCCATGTTAGTTTGCAAGGGCATTCTCCCAAATCATGTTTAGGTGCCCCAGGCCTTGTATTTTTGAGGCGCTTTGCACAGCTACACCTCATTCTCATCCCTGCAAAAAATGAGCTGGATTCTCATGATGATCCCTCGTTCGGTCGAGTGGCAAGGGGACTGAGTGGCGGTGGGGGAGGGGGGCTGCTGGAAGGCACCTGGTTTTGAGCTACCTGGGAGTCAACCTCTTATTACCACTTGAACCTTCGACCTTCTGGGTTTCCTTCACTTTCCCCGCCAACCGCAAGACCCTTCTGGCTTAGTAACTTGGCCCACCTCTGCGAATCTGGGGTCGCAGGCATGTTCAGATTCTGTTCAAAGCTTTTAGTCAACCCTTTAAGACCAATATAATTAAGTGAGACACCAGTACCCTCCCACCAACTAACATGGAAGTGCAAAAAAAAAGCCGTTCTACAGGAGAAACCAGGGCTAGATGTTTTTACAGAAAGAGCGCAGTGTTTGTACAGAGCGGGGCATTACCATACTTCAGTCAATGGTTTAAAGGGTCGGCCTCGAGTATTTTTGCCAAGCAAAAGTACGAGATGCTTACTCAGCACTGAAGGGGCGCGATGGAAGCCCAGCATGTCCAGATCTTTGTGCTTGACATTTGAATGCGATCCCGCTTCCGCCACCTAAAAGATGCTTTCTTTTGGTATAGAGGCCCAAGGGGAGCCCGTTGCGGGCGCCTTGCACTCGCTTTTACATCGTCTTTGTTCACTGACACCCGTTGTTCTTATTTCCTTCTTTTAGCGTGAAGGATGTGCCCAAAATGATTTGCACGTTTGCCTCCGAAGATACTTTTTGAGGCCATTGCCGCACGTTTTTTGCAGCTGCTCCCCACATGCCTTGGCCCACGGGCTGCCACATTGGTGACTTCGGGCTGGCTGACTCACTGACTGGCTGATTGATTGATTGATTGATTGATTGATTGATTGATTGATTGACTGGCTGACTAACTGACTGACTGACTGCTTGATTGACTGGCTGACTGGCTGACTGGCTGGCTGGCTGACTGGCTGACTGTGCTGACTAGCTGACTTGTCTGACTGCTGATGCGGACGGCTTCGAATATAGCTAAATCCTCAGAATTGCCAGGAGATGCCGATGAGGAGCTGCTGTCGCAGGAGGATGGCGTAACACGCCGGAGTGCTCAGAAACGGCCGGGTGCACCGGCGTTGTCAACTTTGCTTATCCTACGCTTGGACCAAGCTTCTCCTGGCGTAGACCCTAGACCTGTCCGAGGACCCCATGAAGGGGCGATGCAAACATAGAAATCAGAATCAAACATGTTACAATTGTTATCTCGGTGGTTCCCCCAAAAAACATGTGTTTTTTGTTTAGCTTTTTAGCTTTTTAGTGTTTAGTGGGAGCTTCCATTTCGCCCAGCTATGTTTGGCTGGAGACAACAGCTGACGCGGTTTTCTATGGACTTGCAAGGCGTTTTTGTTTTGACTTTGTGCAGGCGGAACACGCTCATGTCGTGGGAGACAGACATGGTCCATATGTTGCTTGGTGACATCTCGGGTTTCGAATGGAACTGAGCCCCCAAGTCCCACCCAATCATGTACGTTTTTGTTTGCAAGGATATGCGTTGGGCTGTTTGAGGGAGTGTCGTTGGTCAGGGCAAAACAAAGGAAGTCAGCACATGGGTGGAGTCAGAAGCCTTGGCAAGCACTTTGAACAAGAACCCTTCCAAGAACCTTCTACAGTGCTTAGCAGGGGTTAAGCCTAGGCTGACTTTTTGCCTTAGAAGTTTCTCTATGCAGTTCGCAGGGCTTGCCTTCGCATAAGTCTCTTGACGGCAGTGCGCCGACTCCTGTTACTCTCACTTCCTGAGTTCATGAACTTTAAACTTTTTGGGAAGACAATTTTAGTGGTAAATATAAAGTTTGGACTTTTTTGGGGCCATCCACTCAGCCAGTGAGTCATAGGAACCGTTCCGAAAGCGCTGCGAGGTGCCAAGCGCTTGCTGATCGGGCTGGTCATGCTGATGCTCGGATCGGAAACCGCTGGAAGTCAACAAGCCAAATCCGCTGGTCTCAGGAATCCCCCCCAATCCCCCCCCCCTCTCCCCACTCTCCCGTTTTTTTTGGGCTTTCGTCCAACCAAGACCTTATTGAGGTCTTTAGCTTGTTTCTTTGGTCTTTGCCATTCTGAGAAGAGATATGCCAGGACAGGGTTCTGACCTCGACCACATTCGAGCAGAAGCTCTTCTAAGAACCTGTCCCAAGAAGGTTCTCACAGCTTGTGTTTGATCGCCCCAATGGGGGAGAACGTTTTGCATCCCCACCTGAAAAGTGGAATTGGGGGGGGGGGCGGATTTCGATCCATGTGTGGTTCCTGGATGTGCGTTGTAATTGCAACCTAGGTTGCTACCCACTTACGTTGCCGAACACCCTGGTTTTTTGGATCCACGGCTTTCGCCCACTGCCATAATTTGCACAATGCCTTTAGATCTTTAGGGTGTGGATTGTGGTATGTCGTCGGCAATCGCGGTAGGGTCTTTAAACATTTCGAGGAATGTCCTCCTCAGCATCGTCCTGCTCGTGCTCCTTTCTGCAGCCACTCGCCAATGTGAACGTCAGAGGTCCTTGCGAAAGAAACTTAAGGGGTTTCTGGGGTCTCCTCAGAAAGCAACATGGCCGTGGGTCAAAACCGTTTTGGTACCATTTTGGGATATGTGCACCAGAACCTATTTTAGTGGGGATTGGGTCCCGTTCACTGGGGGTACGATTTGGATTTTGACCCATGGCAACATATATGGGTGTGGCTCATTTTTTTCAGAGCCGGGCCAAACCGCAGGTGTTGGTCTTTCCCTCCAAGGGGCCGCAACGGGGGTCACTTTTTGTTGATCCACGGCCATATCTTTGGCTTTGACCATTCTTGGTGTACCTCAGAGTGGAGAAGGCTTGAGTGGTTGCCCTATGCAGAAGCCAACGTTTTTGCTTTTTTGTCTATTCCTTGGGCTTTGCACATGTTTCATTGCTTCCGGGGTTGAGATTCCTTGCAGATCGCAGGTTCCGGAGAACTCACGCCTGTAGGTGACTTCTGGATGTGCAGAGAAGCTTGGAACCGAGAAGAGTCAACACCTTGAACAAATCAAGCAAGCAAGCACGAAAGCAAACAAGCAAACAAGCAAACAAGCAAACAAGCAAACAAGCAAACAAGCAAAGCTCCAGGCAAAGGTTATAGCATCATATTGAATCTTGAACATGTTGTGTAGGGCTTGATTGCTTTCTGATTGTGTGTGTGTGTGTGTGTTGTTGTTGGTTGTTTTTTCATGCTGTTGCCTGTGACATCTGGTGGCATGTTTATACTCGGGCCTGGGGTTTTCTCCTCTCATTGTTCCATAGCACTGAAAGAAGGCACTGGCAAGAAACTTGCGATCGGTGCGAGATCGGTAGGGAATGTGGTTGAATGAACCTAGGCATCCCCTCAAAGGAAGCCACCAGTTGCCATTGTTTATAGGGGCCATTCCATTTCTCATTCCCTGCAGAGCACCAGCAAGGAAGGAAGTGGCAGAATTTTCGTGGCTAGTGAGGGCGATCAAGAGCAGGCTCAGCCAACATGACAAGACTGATGCTACTGTTTCTGCCGCTTCTGGAGTTTTTTGCGGTGCCGGCGGGCGGGGTTTGGGGGTACCAAATAACGATTCCTTTTTGTTTGCGAGGGGTCCCGTTAAAGTAGTATTTGCTGGCAGTCTACTTGGTAAACTGGACGTCTTCAATCAGAGAGTGTTTTTTGTTTCACCATTATACCGCTGCAACAAGTTTGGCATTCCCGGTTTCCCTTGGTCACCGGGAAAATGGAATTGGTGACCCTTGCCGTCAGCAGGACGTTGCCAGTTGGGAGGGCGTTAGGACGCCAAAACGAATCCGGGGCCTACCCTGTTTCTGGAAACGCCTCAAATTGTTGACCAACCGACTCCTGACGTTGAGGGCGGATATTTCCTGACACAATGGCGAGCTCATCGCCAGCTCAGGTCTCCTCGATGTTTCGGATGATGTGAACGCGTGATCTTGCCCAGCGGCATGTTGCGTCCGTGCTTTCAAGATGTGTGTTCCGTTTCCGGTTTCCCCTTTCTTTTTGTTTGGTGTTTTGTTCCTTTTGTTTGTTTTTTTCTGTTCAAACAACCAAACAAACCTCTCTCGAGGACAAACACTCGGGTGAGAAGCCCAACGGGTGTGCGTTCCATGTGATTTCGCCGCAACTGAAGTCACAAAGTTGACTCCCAGAAACCCAGGCGAACGCGAGGAGTAAAGCGGCGATCGACAGCCTCACCGGGCATGAGTTTCACTCCACAGAGGATGTCGAGTGGGAGGCAAAGGAACGGTTCTGTAAAGTTGAAATGGAGCTTCTTCTGGAATTCGGGTCGGTGTTTTGTAGATCTGAGAGTCGGTATTTCCTGCCCCGGAAGCCACGCAATACGGCATATCTCGTATTCTGTTATTGAGCTTGTTTGTTGCATTATTCTCCGTCAACCAACGGAAACCAAAGGGAGAACCGCTCTGGCTCAACGTTTCGTAGCATCTTACATGTTTGCCCTTGAAGCAAATACTTAAGACCTAGGTGGGTTGAACAGGTAAGTGAATTGGAGGCTTCAACATCGCCTGGATTGGCTCGAAGCATGCCAAGAGTGGCATCCTTCCACTCGAAGCATTCGCTCGTCCGGCGCCCGGCTTTTCGAGCGCCCTTTTTCGCTTGAACATCGACCGTCCAGCGGTGCCCCTTGCTTTTTTGTTGTTTTGTTCGTTGGTCCCGCTTGGAAAAATCAACTTCTCACTTGAGCCACAATCAAAACCTGGGCAGATGAAGGTTAGTAAGGGACGATCCCAGCCATAAATAGCTGCGGATATCCGCCTTCTGAGTTCTTTACATAGTTCTGGGTCGACCATTTTTGTACCGGGTTTTGATTGTGACTCACTTGTCCAAAGCGAGTCGAGCGGATCTGACCTTTGGGTTTGCCTGGTTTCCACTAGCCATGGCCCCCAAATCATCCAAATCATTTCTGGCGTCCAAACTGATCCACTTAGACCTGGGTGTCCGGGCTGAGAACACAGGATCAACTCGATTGGCATGTTGCGGTTTGGACTCAGAAAGCACGATCCTACCCAACCCACCAGCCAACGGTTGCTCAGGGGCTCCTTCAAACTTTTGTAGGCAATCCCGTCTTCCTATTGATAAACGGACCCCAAGACTGAAAATGCTTCCAGCCGACCCCAGAAAACATGCCCAAACTATGTTTGAATTCCAGTACTAAACCAATACTAAACTCTCTAGACGCCAGATGAACTCAGCCTAGCTCCCCAGATGGGCTTCGTAGGGGCCACCAAAGGGTTGCCTTGCGGGAGAGTTGTTTATTTTTTGGGGGGTCTCCGTTAAGGTTCCCTTCATAAGGTCTCTTTTGAAATTTTATTATTAGCTTTCATTTTGAAAAACACACATGACAAATCCTACTCACAAGTTGCATTCTGAACACATTTTGGTGCAAATCACTTGTCCAATTTGAGCCCAGTACTAAACAACGCAGTCTGAAACAGTCCTATGCGACCCTAACAACACCCTCCTAATTGGTTTTGTTTGGGCGGGGGGGACCGTTCTATTTTTAGGGGGTGGGATTATTTGCCCTTGCAAAGAGTGGACACGATTCAAGTTCTTGGTTTGGTGTTGAGCATTGACCAAAGACAAGTCCCAAAAGTCCAAGTCCCAAAATATCCCATCAGTGCCAAACATGCCCTTGTGGTTTTGAGCCCTGGAGGGGATTTCAAGGTTGTCAGGGGCAAAGGGTTGTTTTCGGGATTTTGCCGCCCCTCGTGAATATTCGGGCAACCCAGTTTTTCCGCCTGGCGTTTGACCTCATCTACCCCATTCGGAAAATTGTCCCAAGGGCCCAAGGGCAGGGCACTGGGAACCGAAGATGAATCAACGGTTCGTGTCCTGAGTGAGGAGTCATCACTCGAGGGGAGTTTCTCCCCTATGAATAGGACGGGGTTCTCATTCCGGGGTCCAGAGTAGGTGGCTCCCAGCCATCCGGTTCCTTCGCCTTTTAGATCCTTTTTAGTGGGTGGTAGAACTCCTGCCCCACAAAATGAACCCATGGTTGAAACCAGAACACGTTGGTTGGTATTTGCGTAGGGGAATCGCATCCTTCCGTTGGGTTTCTTGGGTGCGAAATGGATTTCGCATCCATCCATCAGTAGTTTCCGCGTTTGACCCAAGAGCTCTCGTCACTTTCAGCTCGGATCTGACAAATTGCGGCTCCGAGGCTTCGGAGCTCGATGGCGGACAGGAGGGACCTGCATAGCCAGACCGGGGAAGGGCGGGGGGGGCATTGGGGGGGATTTGGGCCATTGGGGGGGGGGGGGATTTTGGGCCATTTTACGTGGGTTTTATCCCAAGCTGAGCTCGGTCTTTGGGTCATTGCCTCTCGCAGATAGGCTGCTTTTGGGTTCTTTGGGGCAGCTTTCAGGACTTTTCAGGGAGGGGTTCGGCTGTTGGGCATAGTTCAGGGGCTTCCTTTGGGCATGAGGGGTCTTCTCGCCTGAGAAAGTGTCATTTGTACAAAAGCAGTGTGCTTTTGTTTCGATTGCACGGTAAAATCAACAACCTCACAAGGAGGCCTGTTTTTTTTCCATGGCCACTGGAGTCTTAGGGCACAACAATTATCCTGCATATTCCAAACAGGAGGATCCTTGAGGAGAATCGGAAGGGTATTAAGTATCGGGTGGGTCACTGTCAAACCAGACTACGCCATGTAATGAGTCACAGGACAAAGACATGTAGTTTGTTTGCCTGCGGGTACTCCCAGAATAAGACCTCATTCTCTGGGGAAAGGACCTCACTTTTTCTGGGGGCGTGTGGGGTGCTTCCCTTGAAACACCATTTAGGGGGGTAACTTTGAGGGTGTCTCTGCTGGCCCAGCTACTCCACGTCGTGCACATGAAATTTGATCCCGGATTCAGCGTCTCCCCCTTTTGATTCGGACAGCTGCCGACTTGCCGCGCCAAGAATTGCTGATTCCCATATTGCTAAGACAAATTTCTGCAAATGCCACTTGGCGAAAGGTCCAGCGGCAGCAGTGCTTGCCCAACCTTTTGCTATGTCCATCAGACTTGGCGGTTCTCAGCCGTGCGGTTCCTTAGGCTTTTAGACTTTTAGGGTTGAATGGATATGTTCCATTTCGCCCGCTCAAAGTGAAGCTTTTAGCCGGGGATCTGAGGACAGCCCAGATTGCTTGTGGCCCTCTCAGGAGTTACGACTCCTTGGCAGTGAAGCTGCGCGGGCTGGAGGATACCGTGGAACAGCTGGTTTCGCAGGCCCGGTCAATCAAAGCCGATTCGTGTGTGTGTTAAACTAGGGGTACCGGGAACCAACATGAATATGGGTTTTCCCTTTGCCTTTCTTGAGCAACTTGGCGAGGAAAAAAAAAAACAGGACCGCCCTTTCAATCCTTTACTTTGATGTGGGTTGACTTCCTTGGATATCCGTTCACGGTTGTCTTGTGACTCCGTTCACGTTTGGCTGTCACCCTTCCCTTGCAACCCCAGCCCCTTGGGACATACCAAACTCTGGCCTGACATGTTTGGCTTGCAAGCACTTGTTTTTTGTTTTGTTTTTAGCATCCAACAAAAGCACGAAACTGTTTGCAAGGGTCGGATCAAACTGGAAATGTGGCATTGGGAGCTTTGAACTCCCCGGAGTTCCATTCATGGTTCCACTCTTGTGGGGGAAGAAAGGACAAATGGAGCTGGCGCTCGCGTGTGTGTGTGTGCTTTGCAGGGTACTTTGCGGGTACCTCTTTTGGATTTGGTTGAAAGGGAAACCATAAGGGCGACCCCCATAAAATAGAGTCCCCGATTTTGACACACGTTGTGCGCCGGAACTCGGGTGCAGATCGCACTGACGCCCTGTGAAGCTTGTACCTGGCGACAGGGGACTGCTCTGCTTGCCGTCCGCATGGAACCTAACGGACAACTTGGGTTGTTTGAGACCACTTCCAAAAAACGCGTTGGGCAGGAAGCCCCAAAAAACATGTATTTAAGTGGTGCATTTGGCGCACTCCTGACTTCACGTCTTAGGCGCGCTGCCGCCCGTCAACTTGTAGCATGTTTACAGTTGTTTTATTCCCAGGAACCTCCCTGTTTGAGTTCCATGCTAAGTTGAAGGGTGGGATTTCTTTGTTTCCATGGCTAATCGGCAAGTATGTGTATTTCCACTGCAAGCGCGCACTGCGCTGTTTTGTGTTTGCTCGATTTTTGCTCACGCTGGGTTGACAGCGAACCACTCCCTCCCTGAGTTCGTGGACTTTGCACTTTTTTGGATTTGTGGCCATTTTAGTGGTGAATCAGAGTTTAAGTCTTGTGCCCAATCCCCGGTCGTGAGTGAGAACATGGCTGAATGCGCTGTTGAATTCGCCCCTCCTTTCCCTCTCCCCGTGGAAATTCCTCCTCAGGCTAAGACCGTTTAGAACCGTTGGATGGCGTTAAGCTCTTTGTGCCACACATTGCCTCTGGAAGTACTTTTCGCGGGGGCCCGAAAAGACAATCCGGGTATGTGTCAACATGGGAATTTGGACCGGGACCCAACATGGATGTCGGTTCTCCGTTCGGTCTTCCTTGAAACCAGCCTTGCAGCGGGCACCTTCAAAAACGGCGCGAATGATGGTTTTCCAGTGGGTTTCCGGATTCCCTTTAAACATGTTTGAACTAACCTCTCAAAGCGGTACCAACTCAGAAAACCGAGCCACGCCCATACTTTCAATTCTTGTGTGGCAGGTGACGAGCTCCCTGCGGAGCCTCGCATGCACTGGAGCCCTCCGTGTTTCATTTTCCTGCGGTTTCTTTGGCGTGGTCCTCTCAAATGAAATCATCTCACAAAAACGGGGCACCCTCCCGGTTGTGAACCAGGATCCCTTTAAAGCAACTGAAACAGAACTTGAGGAATGCCATTAGTACTTGGGACTTGGGAGTATGCTTTGAGAGGAAATTAACTTATTTTGGTCGCTAGTTTCTTAGACCCCGTTTTGAGCTGAAATCCTAAGGCTGAACTTCTTACAATTGGGGATGAAACATGCAGCCAGTAGAAGTTGAGCACGACGGTCAGAAGCAAATCCATAGCATCTTGCTCTTCTGCTGTGGCTGGAGATGAGTGTGGCTCAACATTCAGCAGCTGGGGCAAGCCGCAGGTGGTCCTTTCTTTTCCATATCAAAACCAATGGTATCCCATTTTGGGGTAGGTGCACCACCCATTTTAGAACCTATTTTAGT